GGCAAGTCCTTACTTAAAATCCTCAAGGTGAAAGGAAAAAGGGCAGGCCAGTTTATACATGACGTTGGGATCTGGACGCAAAAATCAAGGAGATGAATAGCATTTGGCAACAAGTGGAAACGAGAGTCTAGGACAGTTGATGATACCTGGTCAGCGGCCTATGCCCCACCAAGGGTAGTTGGTTTATGGGTAATGACCAGTACTTTCCTTCATCATAACACCCACGTGAGTTATTCTGGGACAAAAATTAGTTTTAGCTTCCCAGTTACTTCGTGTTTTGATAATTGTCTTTGTCAAATATTTATATGCTAACCTTGAACACTTTTACTATAATTTTGTGTGTTTATACTTGTTTGTTTTTATGTATGATGTAGTTAGTTTTCTGTCGACTCATATTTTATACGCCGTCTATTTCTATTTAGACAAAGAATCTCCTCAATTATGATGGGTTTTGACTTGTGCTCCAACTTCGTGTTTCCTATGCTTATTCTCTACCCACTTAATCGTCTGGCTATAATTGAATGGATCAAATAAACATATTCTCATTACATTTTGTACTTAGGCTTTATTGATTCAAATTTGTATTAGTGATATGCTGTTGACTAAGTGTTGTGTATAAATTTAGACTGATGTTAGACACGGATACGAAAACTTTCTTTCAAAATGATTATCGACAATATATTCGGCAGATTCACATAATGTGACAACCGCCCGATTTTGTAAATAACTGTCATACAATCAACTTAATTTAACTTTACTAATTACCCTTTTAACTATAATCTTGAAGATATATCTCAAAGGTATTCGCTAATGAACAAACGATAATTATCAGTATATAGTATTTGTACATACTAGTTCAATTTGAGTTGAGTTCTCTGAGCTGAGTGGTTTAATCATGAAACTCATGGTCTTTTTTGGAGATATTATCAGCACAATCTTCAGATAGAGCATTAAGAACATCTACATATATTACTCACACTTTGACAGATCAAGTATCAATAACGAAATTCAAACTTACAGCCGATCTAACTAGCTATTAGCCACATGTGGAGAAATCCGGATAGTTCACTTTTACCTGAACGCATATAACGTTTGCCATTCCATCTCGTTGTAATAACTATTCTGTTGGGCTTATTAAATTTCAGTATGGGTAAATGTTTTATCAGTTAATGAACGACCTGTTTTTTTGCAAACTTAAATCTTTGCAACATCAGTCACGAATCATAATTTTTCAAGTGTTCTAACTTGTATCAGTCAAATTCCGTTGCCTATCAAGGTGCAGTTTATTCACTTTTAATAACTCGACACCGATATTTTTTGATTTTTGTATTTTCTTTACGACGAGCAAACCCATTCTTAGCCTAAATTATTGAGATTAAGAATTAATAGTTGTCCCTTTGCCATAGATTAGTGTATTTTACCTGGTACCTTTAAAATATTCCTAAATCAGTCTAAAGTTTACAAATTTCAAAACTAAATTGTATTGCTTTTCTTTCCATCATATGGTTATTTACTTCAGCCTCATCAATTTGAACGTGGTGGTGGTACAATGTGTATAAAAGATCAAAAACTATGGCAATCATTTTATGATTTAGTTCAACGTGTAGAAGAATGCTCAAAAACTGATTACACTTTTGTTACTACCCATTTATTTAAGCGACTATGGACTTTGATTGAAATTGTGCAGTTTTTTTATGCATAAACTAATTCACTTATGATGCTTAACATTGTTCAGTGTTTTTCTTTTTCTAACTTGTTTATTTTATTTGTCATTTTCATTCTTTCAAAAAATTTATTTTGTCCTATTTTTTTTATTGCGAATACTTTTATATGATTACTGAACAAAATGTTATCTCTAAATGATTATTTATTTAAAATTGATATCATGAATGAATGTTAGACAATCATTGAAAACCTGAAAGCATTGAACGGCTGTTTCGTCCTAGCACGGAACTACTCGATAGTACGATCATTTATTTACTTATTTCTTTGTTGACAATTTAAATGAATCACAGAAACTTATTTTACCAGTCTAGAAAAAAACGGCCAAGAGTTATCGGTTGATTGAATATTGAAGTTTTGTTTTTAAGTAAAACGAATGCCCTGAAATGATGTGACTGCTTGTAGTCGTCAAGTGTTTTAAGGCAGAAATAAAACGATGTAAAGATGGGTCACAATGAATCGATATTAATTCGATAGAAAGGTTATTTAAATATTAGAATTACAACTCCCGATTGTAGTGGTTCATGGTGGATAAGACGAAAATCAGCTGTAGTCCATGAGAATAAACAAAGACTAATTATCGACTAGAATAAGCAGTTCGAACAAATTTTCAGGAGTTTATAGATGGAAATGAGAGAGGGCTCTTGAGGTGCTGACATAATTCCTACGGGACCGAGTAATGAGGATCTAGAAAAGTCGGCAGCCTGGTTGAATATCTGGGCTACCTGTTCGTGCCATTTCAACAAGTTACCTGTTTTCTTGTTTGTTTTAACAAATCATTATGTCTATTGAGCGCACAGCTTATTCAGGGGCGTTTATGAAAAGTTTGTGACAATTAACTGTACAGGTTACGAAAAGGCACAGTCAGCGACATCATGGTGGCTGGTAATATGTATTGAAAAGAACGAACATTATTCAGATGTCGATTCCCGAACATATAACTGGCGATCACTCAATATTTCTGGTCAGGATCGATCAAGAAATAAGAATAGGAAACTTGTTGAAATACCTTACGCTGAGAATTCCATATTGTACCAAAAATATAATATTGGATAAAGCTAATAATAATACAATATAATTTAGTCACAGTTTAACTAATATCCTCCCTGTTTAGTTGCAATTTGATTGGTTGAATCCCATAGAAAATGGATGATCGGAATACTAGTTTTATAAAAAGTTTGTCTCTTCCACCACTTGAAAAATAAATTCTTTAGGAAATCTATCCATGAAATGACACAATATTAGTGGGCTAACTCCTTAATAATGAAAATGTTAATTATCAATGATGAATAAGGCTTAAAATAGGTCAGTAGTAAATGCTTGTCCAAACATGTTCATTCGTTAATTTTGTGCATAGTGAGGATGAATGTCATTTGATATGGAATGATAACGGAATGCAACATGTGAAATGTGTATACCAGTATATTACTATAAGATATCGACATAGTAATCGTTTTGTTTATAAAAAAGTAATATACAGGATGAAATTAATCATACGTAGTAACAGTGAATAGTGGGATAGTATACTGTTCAAATAGTTCAATTAAACCCATCTCGTTTCACATACTCTACAAGAAAGCATTTGAATAAGCGTTTGTTGTAGACTATCGATTATCATCGAATACCGAAGGATATATTCTCATAGAACAAAACATTTCAATCATGAAAAATGACTCAGTGTAATTTTACAAATTAAAAATATAAAAGTTTCAATGACTTGCAGAACTATTAATTTATTTTGTTATACTCTAAATAAAATAATAATCGTTACTGGGCTCAAACAAAGGAGATTGGAAGGCATAATACTGGGAAATAAACATCTAAAATTAAAATTACCAAGTATGGGGGTAAGATAAGGTTGCTTACTCTCCCCTTTTCTCTTCTGATGGTTGGATGGATTATGAATACCTCCACACCCGAGGGAAAGCACGGAATACTATGGATAGCTCGCATGCAACTAAACGATTCGGACTTCGCAGATCATCCAGCTCTTCTATCCCATACAAATGAAGGCGAAGATAGCTGCATCAGTAGACGACAACATACACAAGGGAAAAAGCAAGATCTTGGAATTCAACAGAGAGAACACCAACCCAATCACACATGATCGAGTAACTCTGGAGGAGGTGGGAACTTCAACGTACCTGAGAAGCATTATCGATGAACAAGGAGGATCTGATGCAGATATAAAGGTGAGGATTGAAAAGCAAGAACCACATTTCTACAGTTAAAGAACATATCGAGCTCAAAACAATTGTCAATAACAATCTTCACTACGAACGTTAACACAGTTCTGCTGTACGGAGCTGAAACTAATACAACTATCATCAAAAAAGTACAAGTGTTTACAAACAATTGTCTACGCAAGATATTCAACATCTATTGGTCGGATACCATCAGCAACAACCTAGTCTACTGTGGGAGAGAACAAACCAGCTTCCAGTTGGAGAAGAAATTAGGAAAAGACGTTGGAGGTGGATAGGATATACACTGAAGAAATCATCAAACTGGAACACGAGGCAAGCGCTTAGTTGGAATCCTGAAGGGGAACACCAAAGACCACATTACACCGCTAGTTGGAAGAAATCAAAAGGATGAATAGTAACCACAAAGGATAGACAGAGTTCGATGGAGAATGTTGGTGTGCGGCCTATGCTCCTCCACGAGGGGTAACAGGAGTAAGTATTATCAAGCATGTGGACACGGAACTACGTTTCTTCTCTTCGCCTAAGCTAGATTGATTTGACAACTCGAAAATACATATATAGTGTCTTTTTATGAACAAATTTTGATTTACAAAATGAAATCTAGACCACCGTTTAAAACCTGGAAATACTGGACGGCCGTTTCACTCTAATATGTGACTCCTCAGTAGTGTGCATCCAAGACCCTACCACGCGGGATTCGAACTCAGGACTTATCAGTCTCGCGTGCGGTCGCTTAACAACTAGACCACTGAGCCAGCATCTAACGGTGTTAGTGTGTAACTTCTAACAATCCAGGAATTCGCGTCACCACCCACCATGGTGGTCTAGCTCCAATTGTCTCATGAATTCAACTATTAAACTACTATAATATCCACAGAATCCCTCTCTGATTAAAATCAAGTCTGTCATTTCAATGGGGAGATATCATCAGTATTAAATATTTTCCCTATAATATGCTTACAGTTTAGTATGTGAGAAAATATAGAGTATAAGATAACAACAATCCTAATTCAATTTAAGAACAGAAATTTTATAATCATAAAATTATAATGATAAAAGCAATCACAATATGATATACGAAATTTATATTTATAAACTGAATATTCAACAATACAAACAAAAGTGGTGTCTTTGCACACACACACAAAGGAAGAAGAGATACCTAAAAAATGGTTTTCCAAAAATAGTTTATTTTAATAAAATAAAAAACAAATTACTTTAATGTATCTGTTAAAACGTCATGATATTTGATCAATATTGTATAATGAAGATGTACATTATGAAAATTTCAATAATTGAGATCATGAGTTAATTGAAGCTAGAGCACTATGGAAAATCTAGAAGCATTGGATGGTCATTTCCACGTTTTCTATGATAATCTAGCTTCAATTGACTTATGATAGCAATTATTGAAATGATTATAATTCTGATACAAAATAAATTGTGTTAAATCCAATTTGGTAAAATACAATCAGATCGTTGTTTTACATTAACTTGTAAATTATCACAAAAATTTGATGTTAATGGTAAACATGTAAAATAATTACAATATCGACAATTAATAATTGGACCCCATATAAACATAAGAATTAAACCAATACATAATATTAACCATAGAATGGAACATAATATAATAATAAAACAACGATGATGACATTTAGAATTTTGTTGTTGTAATTGTAATTGTTGTTGAAGATATTGTGGATGCATAGAGGAATGATGTTGTAATGATGTACAACTTTTACGATTTATATCAGGTAAATTGAAATTAAATAGAATAGATGGTGTTGTTGGTGATGTTATAGGTGTATTATAATAATTATTATCAAATATATTTTGATTAACTGATGTAGCTATGGATGCACTAAGAGATACAGGTGGATAAATGAAACCACGAAATGGTAATAAAATAAATGATAATAAAATACCAGATAGAAAACTACCAGCATTTGCATAATTATCAATCCATGGTAACAAACCAAATGTGAATAATATAAATACCAGTAAAATATTTCTTAGTAATGCATACCATGGATGTGCTAAAAAATTCCAACAATGTATAAAATCAACTAAAGTGACACCAAGTAAAGCGAACTGTGCACCTGTAGGTCCAGTTTCTACCTAAGGAAAAGAAAAATCCCCGTGATACAAAAAAACAAACAATCAAAATGAAATAAACTGACTGGTTTATCAATAATAGTGTTAATAATAATGAGTTTTTTTAAGCGAAATACATCTCTAGATTGAAAACAAATTGAGTGCATGAATGATTTTGATAGAAGCAAAATACTTCAGAGAAAAGTGGATCGAAACAATCTGAATAAATAAAATGATGTAGTTTAGTTCGCTACACTTTGGCAACTGTTGATTAGGGAATAAAAATATATTTCTATCAATACAACCCATCAAATGATTCCAAGAACAATTAGTGCTCTTCTCTCGCACACGCAACAACAAATGCAGAAGACGACCAGTGTAGCAACAGCCTTAGCAGCAGCAAGTCTCAACACACACAAAGGGAAAAACAAGATTCTCCGATACAACACAGCATGCGCCAATCGAATCACACTTGACGGAGAAGCTTTGAATGATGTAAAAACCTTTACATATCTGGACAGCATCATTGATGAACACGATGGATCTGATGCAGATGTGAAGATGCGGATCGGCAAAGCAAGAGCAGCATATCTACAATTGGAGAACATCTGCAACTCAAAACAACTGTCTGTCAGCCAACACCAATGTCACAATTTTCAATACAAATGTCAAGACAGTTCTACTGTTTGGGGCGGAAACTTGAAGAACTACGAAAGCCATCATTCAGAAGATACAAGTGTTTATTAACAGTTGTCTAAGCAAAATACTTCGGATCCGTTGCCCAGAAACTATCAGCAACAACCTACTGTGGGAGAGAACAAACCAGATCCCAGTGGAGGAAGGAATCAGGAAGAAGTGCTGGAAGTGGATAGGACACACATTGAGGAAAGCATGCGACTGCGCCGCAAGGCAAGCCCTCATTTGGAATCCTCATGGCCAAAGGAGAAGAGGAAGACCAAAGAACACATTACGTCGAGAAATGGAAACAGACATGAGAAGAATGAACAAAATTGAATAGAACTGGAGAGGAAGGTCCAGGACAGAGTGGGGTTGGAGAATGCTGGTCGGCGGCCTATGCTCCATTGGGAGTAACAGGCGCAAGTAGGTAAGAACGATTGGTGTTTAATTATGTAGCCATTTAATTTTTTGAATCAATCTCTGACTAGTTCATAATTCATTATCCGACTATCCTAATTTATTATATACTTACTAACCCTAATTTATTCATTTGTACTAGTAGTTATGTAATAAATAAAACAATTTGTTTATCTGGGTCATGGTTGCGCACGATGAAACTTCTGTATCTTGTCATATATTTCCATAACCTTGCTGTTTGTTATAACACAATACGTTTCAGTCAGACTAATGATGTATTCTTCATTTGAATATGTTTAATATGTGTTAGATTAGTCATTTTAGGTGGGTGACATTCATATATGTCATTCGTCCATAGGAAGCATAGTGTCACTGTTATATCTTGAAAAAGCTGATTTTTCGATAAACCGCGAGTAACTGAGCACTAGAACACCAAAACCCTTCCAAGTCGCAGTAAGAAGACAGAAGACTAACGAAAGGAATATTATTCCAAACAGTGTCAATCATAGTACAAAATTGTCAGGTATTTATAGTTTTTAGTGAGAACGAAATCATCATTACAGTCTTCCGATCCGCATACAGGGGGTTATTAGCATTATCCAATCGGGAAGCTACACGTTGGAATTCTAGAACATTCTTCCGAAAGGTGATTGGATGGGACGTCTTCGGCTTCCTCTGTGCCTCTAACAGCTTCCTCGAGTTCACCGGTGGTCCGTCGTCACAGTCACATATGTGTAGCCGGGTTAATTTTAAGTTAGCTAATCGAATTCTCATTAAAATTGTAAGTATGAAGTCGATAGGTTTAGTGAACAACTAAATTTTAAAATCATTACTTGAGTAACTGTTGCGATATTTTAGGTTAGAGCAGTTAACGTTTAAAACTCGAACCGCACATCTCTCCGTCAATCAATCATACGCTTAGAAGTACGATCCATAGTTCATATGGCAACACAACCTACACCTCAATATACGATATTCTGTACATCTCCAAGTCATATTGTCATTAATTACTTCCATTTTCTAAAGGAATAGAACAACGTAATATCAAGAAATCAATTACCTCGTTAATGTTTACATATTCTAACTCCATTCTGATGAGGTAAAATAAATTTAATCTGGGATGTCAATTCGTTGCCTCATTTTGAACTCATCAAATAATTGGTTTTTTTTTTAAAAACTAATAGATAGAATCAGTAGTGGATTTTGTGGATATTATATTAATTTTAATAGTTGAGATCATGTGTCAATTGAAGCTAGACCATCATGGAAAATCTGGAAGCACTGGACGGCCGTTTCGTCCTGGTATGGGACTCCTCAGTAGTGCGTATGCACAACCCCGCACCCCGCGAGACTCGGACCCAGGACCTACTGGTTTTGCGCGCGAGCACTTAACCATTAGACCACTGAGCCGGCATCCAACGGTGTTAATGTCTAACTTCAACCAATCCACGAAGTTGCGCCACCGTACACCATTGTCTTCAGTGAGCTGATATCTCACAACAGACCTGGTTGAACTCCACTGGTAACGGCTTCTCACTAGAACTCCAGAAGTATCTCCTGAAGTCAGTCACTAGTGAGCAGTTGATTATTATCAGAATGGGTTTTGTGGAGATTTTTAGAAACTTCACAAAAATGAACCTTGGAGTAAAGTATTTTCTCTCATAATTCGCGTCTCCTCCCTGGTGTTCAAGTCGCTGTGTAGTTCTAGCTTGCGGGTTACCAGAATAGCTTAGGAATCGTATATAGCGTTCAATCGACAAGACTTATCAATAGTCAATATCATACGGAATTCCTATGATGGATTAAACTGCAAAATCGTGCATGGAGGACAATTGACAGACTCGTCCGAGGTAAAGACCGGTGTTAATCAAGATTGTTTATTCTCATCCTTTCTCTTTCTCCTAGTGATCGACAGGGTCATGAAGACGTCAATATCTGGGGGGAACCATGGGGTACAGTGGACAACTAGAATGCAGCTAGACGACGTAGACTTCGCAGATGATCTGGCTCTACTATCGCACACGCAACAACAAATGCAGAAGACGACCAGTGTAGCAACAGCCTTAGCAGCAGCAAGTCTCAACACACACAAAGGGAAAAACAAGATTCTCCGATACAACACAGCATGCGCCAATCGAATCACACTTGACGGAGAAGCTTTGAATGATGTAAAAACCTTTACATATCTGGACAGCATCATTGATGAACACGATGGATCTGATGCAGATGTGAAGATGCGGATCGGCAAAGCAAGAGCAGCATATCTACAACTGGAGAACATCTGCAACTCAAAACAACTGTCTGTCAGCCAACACCAATGTCACAATTTTCAATACAAATGTCAAGACAGTTCTACTGTTTGGGGCGGAAACTTGAAGAACTACGAAAGCCATCATTCAGAAGATACAAGTGTTTATTAACAGTTGTCTAAGCAAAATACTTCGGATCCGTTGCCCAGAAACTATCAGCAACAACCTACTGTGGGAGAGAACAAACCAGATACCAGTGGAGGAAGGAATCAGGAAGAAGTGCTGGAAGTGGATAGGACACACATTGAGGAAAGCATGCGACTGCGCCGCAAGGCAAGCCCTCATTTGGAATCCTCATGGCCAAAGGAGAAGAGGAAGACCAAAGAACACATTACGTCGAGAAATGGAAACAGACATGAGAAGAATGAACAAAATTGAATAGAACTGGAGAGGAAGGTCCAGGACAGAGTGGGGTTGGAGAATGCTGGTCGGCGGCCTATGCTCCATTGGGAGTAACAGGCGCAAGTAGGTAAGAACGATTGGTGTTTAATTATGTAGCCATTTAATTTTTTGAATCAATCTCTGACTAGTTCATAATTCATTATCCGACTATCCTAATTTATTATATACTTACTAACCCTAATTTATTCATTTGTACTAGTAGTTATGTAATAAATAAAACAATTTGTTTATCTGGGTCATGGTTGCGCACGATGAAACTTCTGTATCTTGTCATATATTTCCATAACCTTGCTGTTTGTTATAACACAATACGTTTCAGTCAGACTAATGATGTATTCTTCATTTGAATATGTTTAATATGTGTTAGATTAGTCATTTTAGGTGGGTGACATTCATATATGTCATTCGTCCATAGGAAGCATAGTGTCACTGTTATATCTTGAAAAAGCTGATTTTTCGATAAACCGCGAGTAACTGAGCACTAGAACACCAAAACCCTTCCAAGTCGCAGTAAGAAGACAGAAGACTAACGAAAGGAATATTATTCCAAACAGTGTCAATCATAGTACAAAATTGTCAGGTATTTATAGTTTTTAGTGAGAACGAAATCATCATTACAGTCTTCCGATCCGCATACAGGGGGTTATTAGCATTATCCAATCGGGAAGCTACACGTTGGAATTCTAGAACATTCTTCCGAAAGGTGATTGGATGGGACGTCTTCGGCTTCCTCTGTGCCTCTAACAGCTTCCTCGAGTTCACCGGTGGTCCGTCGTCACAGTCACATATGTGTAGCCGGGTTAATTTTAAGTTAGCTAATCGAATTCTCATTAAAATTGTAAGTATGAAGTCGATAGGTTTAGTGAACAACTAAATTTTAAAATCATTACTTGAGTAACTGTTGCGATATTTTAGGTTAGAGCAGTTAACGTTTAAAACTCGAACCGCACATCTCTCCGTCAATCAATCATACGCTTAGAAGTACGATCCATAGTTCATATGGCAACACAACCTACACCTCAATATACGATATTCTGTACATCTCCAAGTCATATTGTCATTAATTACTTCCATTTTCTAAAGGAATAGAACAACGTAATATCAAGAAATCAATTACCTCGTTAATGTTTACATATTCTAACTCCATTCTGATGAGGTAAAATAAATTTAATCTGGGATGTCAATTCGTTGCCTCATTTTGAACTCATCAAATAATTGGTTTTTTTTTTAAAAACTAATAGATAGAATCAGTAGTGGATTTTGTGGATATTATATTAATTTTAATAGTTGAGATCATGTGTCAATTGAAGCTAGACCATCATGGAAAATCTGGAAGCACTGGACGGCCGTTTCGTCCTGGTATGGGACTCCTCAGTAGTGCGTATGCACAACCCCGCACCCCGCGAGACTCGGACCCAGGACCTACTGGTTTTGCGCGCGAGCACTTAACCATTAGACCACTGAGCCGGCATCCAACGGTGTTAATGTCTAACTTCAACCAATCCACGAAGTTGCGCCACCGTACACCATTGTCTTCAGTGAGCTGATATCTCACAACAGACCTGGTTGAACTCCACTGGTAACGGCTTCTCACTAGAACTCCAGAAGTATCTCCTGAAGTCAGTCACTAGTGAGCAGTTGATTATTATCAGAATGGGTTTTGTGGAGATTTTTAGAAACTTCACAAAAATGAACCTTGGAGTAAAGTATTTTCTCTCATAATTCGCGTCTCCTCCCTGGTGTTCAAGTCGCTGTGTAGTTCTAGCTTGCGGGTTACCAGAATAGCTTAGGAATCGTATATAGCGTTCAATCGACAAGACTTATCAATAGTCAATATCATACGGAATTCCTATGATGGATTAAACTGCAAAATCGTGCATGGAGGACAATTGACAGACTCGTCCGAGGTAAAGACCGGTGTTAATCAAGATTGTTTATTCTCATCCTTTCTCTTTCTCCTAGTGATCGACAGGGTCATGAAGACGTCAATATCTGGGGGGAACCATGGGGTACAGTGGACAACTAGAATGCAGCTAGACGACGTAGACTTCGCAGATGATCTGGCTCTACTATCGCACACGCAACAACAAATGCAGAAGACGACCAGTGTAGCAACAGCCTTAGCAGCAGCAAGTCTCAACACACACAAAGGGAAAAACAAGATTCTCCGATACAACACAGCATGCGCCAATCGAATCACACTTGACGGAGAAGCTTTGAATGATGTAAAAACCTTTACATATCTGGACAGCATCATTGATGAACACGATGGATCTGATGCAGATGTGAAGATGCGGATCGGCAAAGCAAGAGCAGCATATCTACAACTGGAGAACATCTGCAACTCAAAACAACTGTCTGTCAGCCAACACCAATGTCACAATTTTCAATACAAATGTCAAGACAGTTCTACTGTTTGGGGCGGAAACTTGAAGAACTACGAAAGCCATCATTCAGAAGATACAAGTGTTTATTAACAGTTGTCTAAGCAAAATACTTCGGATCCGTTGCCCAGAAACTATCAGCAACAACCTACTGTGGGAGAGAACAAACCAGATACCAGTGGAGGAAGGAATCAGGAAGAAGTGCTGGAAGTGGATAGGACACACATTGAGGAAAGCATGCGACTGCGCCGCAAGGCAAGCCCTCATTTGGAATCCTCATGGCCAAAGGAGAAGAGGAAGACCAAAGAACACATTACGTCGAGAAATGGAAACAGACATGAGAAGAATGAACAAAATTGAATAGAACTGGAGAGGAAGGTCCAGGACAGAGTGGGGTTGGAGAATGCTGGTCGGCGGCCTATGCTCCATTGGGAGTAACAGGCGCAAGTAGGTAAGAACGATTGGTGTTTAATTATGTAGCCATTTAATTTTTTGAATCAATCTCTGACTAGTTCATAATTCATTATCCGACTATCCTAATTTATTATATACTTACTAACCCTAATTTATTCATTTGTACTAGTAGTTATGTAATAAATAAAACAATTTGTTTATCTGGGTCATGGTTGCGCACGATGAAACTTCTGTATCTTGTCATATATTTCCATAACCTTGCTGTTTGTTATAACACAATACGTTTCAGTCAGACTAATGATGTATTCTTCATTTGAATATGTTTAATATGTGTTAGATTAGTCATTTTAGGTGGGTGACATTCATATATGTCATTCGTCCATAGGAAGCATAGTGTCACTGTTATATCTTGAAAAAGCTGATTTTTCGATAAACCGCGAGTAACTGAGCACTAGAACACCAAAACCCTTCCAAGTCGCAGTAAGAAGACAGAAGACTAACGAAAGGAATATTATTCCAAACAGTGTCAATCATAGTACAAAATTGTCAGGTATTTATAGTTTTTAGTGAGAACGAAATCATCATTACAGTCTTCCGATCCGCATACAGGGGGTTATTAGCATTATCCAATCGGGAAGCTACACGTTGGAATTCTAGAACATTCTTCCGAAAGGTGATTGGATGGGACGTCTTCGGCTTCCTCTGTGCCTCTAACAGCTTCCTCGAGTTCACCGGTGGTCCGTCGTCACAGTCACATATGTGTAGCCGGGTTAATTTTAAGTTAGCTAATCGAATTCTCATTAAAATTGTAAGTATGAAGTCGATAGGTTTAGTGAACAACTAAATTTTAAAATCATTACTTGAGTAACTGTTGCGATATTTTAGGTTAGAGCAGTTAACGTTTAAAACTCGAACCGCACATCTCTCCGTCAATCAATCATACGCTTAGAAGTACGATCCATAGTTCATATGGCAACACAACCTACACCTCAATATACGATATTCTGTACATCTCCAAGTCATATTGTCATTAATTACTTCCATTTTCTAAAGGAATAGAACAACGTAATATCAAGAAATCAATTACCTCGTTAATGTTTACATATTCTAACTCCATTCTGATGAGGTAAAATAAATTTAATCTGGGATGTCAATTCGTTGCCTCATTTTGAACTCATCAAATAATTGGTTTTTTTTTTAAAAACTAATAGATAGAATCAGTAGTGGATTTTGTGGATATTATATTAATTTTAATAGTTGAGATCATGTGTCAATTGAAGCTAGACCATCATGGAAAATCTGGAAGCACTGGATAGCCGTATACAGGTTTTCCATGGTGGTCTAACTTCAATTGATCTCAACCATTAAAATAGATAGAACTTTATTTTACAAACGATTACATTATTAATACAATTAATTAGTCATAATTCTATTCAATAATGTTGATAATTTTAGTCACCTAAAATTATTGAAGAAACTCTTCTGTTGGAACTCCAACACACAAACGTATTTCTCAAGAAAATCCATCCCATGCTATTCGAGACAGATAAGATCAAATAAGTAAGGTAAAAGGTACAGCAAATTGTTACCGAATTTGAAAAAAATTCACCTTATTTATTGGGAATAAGCTTTTAATTTAACGTTTAAAACTACATTTTTGTTTGGTCATAAAAGCGAACGGATAGACAGTTAAACTGACCAAATTTCATATCCTTAGAAACTTTATTCTTTCTTTTTTTCTTGTCTGGTTGGTAGATAGCCATCATGATAGAATGATTTAATGTTCATTAAATAATCAGAAAGCTCACTTCTAAGTGAAGGGATTAGTGATATGGTCAATAGGGATAACAGAAGTTTCGGAATTAAACACTACCAAAAGCATCTACTAGAGCAACAAATCCTCTTCAGTGTTTATTTAGATTTAATTATTTTAAACAAATCTAGGTTTACATCCATTTATTAATCAAATCAAATGACTTACTTGATATGGTAAGAATATTCCAGATGTTAAACTTCCAATACAACCGGATAAAATATACACTAAAGTGATACGATGCCAACCAATCATTTTTTCCAAGTCTCGCATAAAAATCATTTGAACACCAAGGGACAAGATTAAATGTAATACACTAGAAAAAAATCGATAGCACATGGATGGAAAAAGTATTCAGGAAGAAACTGACATTTTTTACTTCGGTGAGTCATTACGTGATATAACTGTATCAAACACAGTCCCAAACAATCATTAAATTTCACAGTTCGGACGGTGAATGACCAATGTTTTCAGTTTGGAAGAATCATGATTTTGCTTACCATCGAAAGGTAGATCCTGATGCTATTAAAGCTTACCAAGAGTAAAACTACGGTCTACAATTTTTGCTCAGAGGATTTGGATCATGATGTCACATTAAGATAAGACGGCTGACTTGCTTTTTTTTATTACGTTTTCAGTTTGCATGTCTATGCAATTGATTCTTATCAATCCGACCTCATATTTGCACACTATTATGAATAAAGCAAGTTAAAGCAGTCAAATGTAACATCAATCTGTCTATTTTGTCTAGTGAATAAAACTGTGTTGACTGATTTATATTTTTTTATTTAGTCACGAGTTCTTTGGAAATAATAATTGTTAGGTGATAAGAGGCACTCAACAGAAAATCCTAGACAAGGACCTCGTGTTAGCTGGCAATCATAAGCTTTTATGCATGACATCTTATCAATTTGAATGTTGTTCTTCAGCTGATTTGAGATAAACAGCATTTATTATAAAGTATGCAGATGTTTTTTTTCTCAAAGACAAACTCCCCAACAGTGAGTAATCCGACTAGAAAATCGAACCCAAAACTTTCATACATCCAAGGGATCAAGATGCCTTTAAGAACCCAGGTTATTATTCCATTGTTTACATCTATAACTTTAATTAGTTTACGATACAGAGAGAACGCCATCCAGTACCATTGTGGTGTGTGCTACTGATGTCGACAGTATGTATGATCGATCGAAAGTGAAATGTCTGGCGGCAGAAGGTCAAGGAGACCAAAGAAAAGAGAATGAAAAAAGAGATTTATTGGTGTGGAAAGGAAGGAACAGTAAAGTCCGAGACGATTGACTGACATTTTTCAAATGAAGAATCTATTGCATGGTTCTCAGATTTTGTTAAGAGATTCTGTAATTTTGTGTTCAAATACATTTGGTTGTCCCCACTCGTGTTCGTGTTCACTACAACATTTGTGATATGTCTCTTACCTAAGTTGAATGAACCCCAATGGTCACAATTTCTTGCTGGAACATAAAGATAACCGAGAATGTATGAGAAAATAGTCGTTTGGAACATTCCAATTTTCAATGATTCCTCAGCTGGATGTCAGTTCTTGATAGAAAGTATTTTCATATCATACATATATAGTTATACGGTTTAAATACAATTCTGTAATTTGAAAGCAAATAATGACTATAAAACCGTACCCAGCATGGAGAAATAATGAAGTGAATATTCGATACATTTGATTTGGGTATTCATTATTTATGAAAGGTGACATACCACAAATTTGATTTAAACAATTCACCTAAAACCAGAGAAACAATCGTAATTAATATTAGTAATAACTAAAGAGATCAGTAAAGAAATTCAACTTATGAGAATATGGGTGTAGATAATTCTTGTATGAACAAAAGAGAAAATAAACCCAGCTACCATGAAAGAAGTGAAGAAAAGTCAGACTAAAAAAGTTAGGGAGACATAGAAGACACTCAACGAATAATGAATTACAACCTCACTGATCAGCTTTTCATTTTTAAATGAAACAGTACGCAAAACTCAGCATTACGAATTTAATAATTTCACTAGATGTAAGGAACATTTGTAGACACTTTTAATCAAATCATTACAACCTACGCGAGTTTTGGTGGAACAGCTTCTTCTTTACGACAAACAGCCGATTATCTCGCCTGTCCCAAAGATGGTGCTATATTCGTAAATAAAAAGCGAGCTTCTTAAATCTTCGTCGAGATACATCACATCAAAAAATAAAATGCTGGGCTAACCTATTCCCAACAGTCAAAATATGCGTTGACATAGATCAGTCCTGAAGTAATATTTTGTATTCAGTGAAGAAACAAATCTCAAACATTCTTACATTGTTGCAATGTATGGGTGAGGGGATAAAACGGAACAATTTTACTTCTCAAAAATAAATTGTCATTATTATCAAGTTGAATTTATTTACTTGTGAACATAGTGCAGCATTTGGATAATAAAAGCCTCGAACAAAATCACAATGTTCTTGTGTAGTCATAATGCATTCACCTTTTATGCCTAAACAACATGGATGACCAGTTACTTGACATTCCATATGTGGTGCATAACCACCCATATTTGGTACAGTATCAGGTAATTCACAAATCTAAAATGAACAAAACATTCATAGTACATTCATGAAAACAGTAATATTTACTCGAATTATAATATTCAAAACTATTTAATACAGAGATATGAATTGACAGTAAACGGCTAATAACTGTTGTTTTTAGTTCTGTAAATAGAATTGTGTAACAAATGTACAGATATTTGTTCGTAAAGTGGCTAGCAATAACTAATGAGAAATAGATAGCCAAATGTGGATCATAGTTCAAACTGATGATCCAATTCATGAACCATAGTCCTTACAGCAAAGTTACAAATGTGTTAGGTAAGATCATAGGGACAGTAGAACTGACTATTTGAATTTAGATGATAAGATACAAAACTGACCTCAGTAGTACACATTCATCTACTCGAATCATTGGGAAGCAAAATAGTTTCATAAACTTAACAGAAAATATTTTCACAGTTAATGACACCATATCGATATTTTCAAGTTTATCATTGCCACCAAAAGCTTCAATGACTAGTTAATTCAATATTTGATGACTCCTATCAAATGGAAAAAACTATCTTTTTCAGCTCATCTGTTAATTTCCAATGCATTAAAATACAAGACAAGTCTGAATGTGAATAAAATTACTTTCAAGTTAGCATAATCATCAAATAATGACAAGAATATAAATCCAAGTCCTCGTATAAATTTTCTGTAGTAGACTGAGTAGTTCAAATGCTACTGCTTGGAGAGGGTTCGAAAGCGTTAAGCAATGATTGAATATCAATGTTTCGAACCACTGAGTTTGAACTCCAGACAAAATATACATAACTACATTTTTAAACTTAGCTGACATAATGAATATGGACATTTGACTTTCGATTATTTTGTCCCTGGGTTTAAATCAACTATTCTTCCGCTTACTTTGATTCCAGTAGATGGATAGTATTAATAAAAAGTGGTATTTACTGAGGACTTTAAGCACACTGACATATTTTCTTCAGTCGTTCGAATGTAAACTATTTGGTACCACTTATTGCTTCTAAACATCTGAAACAGAATACAACGTATTGCAGTATGATGCTTTTCCACGAATGGTTGTATCGTATTCATTAGTTGATAGGTAGAGGATTAGTCAGTTTGTCATTGTCTTGTGAATATTGGGTGTCGTGCAGAACCTATATTTAAAAGGGATTAACGGGGTATACGGAGTAAAAAAAAAACAGAAATCGACAAAATATGTTTACATTTACAGGCCATTTAGTAACATCTGTCTCGGACCAAGCAAATGCTCCAATAGAACGTGGTCGAGCACAAAAATCTGGATCTAATCCACATACAGGTCCAGCTTGACCAACAAGTCGTGTTGAACGTAGAGAATGTATAATACTTGATATATTATTATTATGACTGTGAGAATTATTTTCAGGATGAGAAGCCTTCAATATATGTACGTGAATTTCACGATCTGCAATATTAGTCGAAAGTAGTTCTTTAGTTTGTGGCTTACTGAAATTAACTGTTTCATAATGAAGCCATGTAGCTAGTGTACGAGAGCATACTTCTCTATGCGTCTGATAACAACCACCACCATCATTACGAATACAACATCCCGAACTATAGAAGAAAAGTGAAGAAAAAAATCAACTCATACATAAACACCTAAGCAAATACACATTATGAAAATTATGGTATTTATATCATATAATCTACTACTTCACGGTTATTTTTATTTCTAACATTCGGGTCAATCGAATTAGGCTGAGGAACATGATAAGATTGGATACTAAGGTGCATTGTCAAATGAGTAAACAATGATCGAGAAATTAATATACGGGAGATAACTTTAGTTAAGTGAATAGTATACATGCTCACTATAGCTTACCAAACCTATATATAAGTTCAGTGAAGGGATCTCTTGTCAACGAATTTATTATCAAGCTGTAAAATCGTATAAATTCCATGAGGAAATGTGAACAAGGAACAACCAAGATGATGTAATAGAAAGATTACAATACTAGATTATGTAGCACGAATAATAACAATCGACTTAATAAGTTAGTAACGAATTATAACGTGTCAAATCACAATCAGTATAATAGGCACTACTGCAAATCATTCTGACCTTTATTGAATGACCTTTCTAATTTACAAATAACACAATTTTGAAGTGCATATGTCGCAATAGATGTAAAAGTTCACCATTTTCAACATATAACATTATTAAATCCATTAATGCATGGTGTACTTTGGCCTTTGTAAAATAACAAAATTGTGGACTTATAACTGTAGAACCTGATGATGAAGTTATTGAAAACAATTGTTCGCTCAAATATTCTTAATTTTTGAATATTCTATAGGGATTTTTAACCTAAAAGTTTTACTACTGCATTCACCTACAACTTCCTTTAACATCATAACAAGGCGATTAATAGGGGAATATGATCCTTCTATTACATTTCGTACAGTCAGAGATCAGTTCATATACAACATTTAGGATTTCGCTAAAATGGTTTTTTAAATTACATTTCATGGGTAGACATTTTTAAAATCTAATGGTTGAATTCATGACTTGATCTAAGCTAGACCACCATAAAAAACCTGGAAGCACTGGACGGCCGTTTCGTCTTAGTATGAGACTGCTAGACAGTGCACACACACGATCCCGCACTCGGGACTCGGACCCAAAACCATACATAATGATTCCGTATTTATGGTCTATCAATAACAATTGTGGGTTAAAGCTTAATAAACCAAGTAGAATTATTTTTACCAACCTTGCTGCTTAACTAATTTAAGTTGTAATGCTTATACAGTTTGGAATTTATAGAAATACTTACAAATTGTTCAATTATTAAATGAAGAAACTTACGCACGATCAAATTTCTTTTGACGTTTAATCACTGAATCATGTAATACTGGATCGAATCGCATACAAGGCGGAAAACGTGCACCTAATCGGACTAAATCTGTTTGCCTTGGACCTATCCATAAATTTTCATATTCTATCCAACAAACTTGATCAATAGTCAATGTGGGCAGTAACACTTTGCCAACAATACGTGTAGTTATCCCCAAACCAATTGGTGCAAATCCGTAACCGATTGAACCAGCAATAAAAATCAATATATGAATAAATGATATCCAATATGTAAAATATGGTCTACATTTGAATATTGTTTGTTTTCGAATTAAATAAATAAAACAAAATTATTCATAGAATAGTGAAAATATAAGTGAAGATCGAAAACTAAAAAAACGACCTAATTAAGATTATTTTTACAAAAAAAATTGAGAAAGACTAGTAATAGAGTAGTAGAAATAAATTTAAATAAATAAAAGTTAGGTACTCTCTGAAGAAGTGTCTTACACTGAATTACGAAACGTCAGATGTGATACTATTATATCGTTATCTTAATACTGACAATCTACTTAATGTTCAGTATACTTGGAATCATTATGTCTAACCTTGGTAATGATAGCTATAAACTCACCAGGATTTAAGTTATTGAATTGTGTTCTGTATCATCAATATATATATTGTAGTAATTTCAATAGTTGAGATCATGAGTCAATTGAAGCTAGACCACCATGGAAAGCCTGGAAGCACTGGAGGATTAATAACTATCCCTCTTTAACTTGATAATTGATATGGACCCCATCAATGTATTATCTTCAAATTCTGGGAACCATATAGTTTTCTCAAGTTACTTATTCTAGAATAGTGGTAAAATGTCAATCTCAGCAAAATTTGTAGAACATACTAATAAAGAGATCCTTCTCGTACACAATGAAATCAGATGAGGTTATTTCGAAGTGGAGCCTAATTCATCATTCATTGTTGAATATACCATTATACTAATAATTAATAATTCAGTTCAGCATAAAATTCAGGGATCTTAACAATTTATATTTAGTGAGAATAAAATCTGAGATTTCAAGGAAAACAAGCTGACCTAAATTATTCAATCAATAATGACAGAAACCATACTCTTACGAATAACAAAATATGCACACAGTCGAGATCAATAAAGACAACTTACCTATACTCTATATATTCAGTTGTTTTATTACGAAAAATATCTTCTGTAAAATTATCTTTATGCGGATAGATAATTGCTGAAGCCCAACGTGTTGGAGTCAATAAGCTTTCAGTTAAACGCCTTGAAAGAGATGGAATTACTACTGGACTAGGACGAAAATTTATCGGTGATACTGTGGTACTTGTTCGTGGGCGATTTTCACCGATTATTTCTCGAGCTAATAAAGAGAAACAAACAAATCAAACCACAGATTTAATGTTTAAAGTGAAGTTATGGGTAGAAAGGTATTCATTAAGTCCCTTGTCAACTTTACCACACTTGACTTTTACATATTGCTAACGTGAATCTTTTTATTTCATAAATATCATAGCCAAAACTCAAGTTGATAACTTGAAATATATTGAACACTAGGTTGGCTATGTTTGTAATAAAAATGACTTATTTGTGATAATCCAACTTTCAATATGTCGTAATTTTGTAACAAAGTGTATTATCGCCAACGACCGTTTTTGATCACTTTTTCATCAGGCTCTGTGTTGTAATAAATTCGAAATTTCACAGGTTGAAATCATGAGTCAATTGAAGCTAGACCACCATGGAAAACCTGGAAGCACTGGACGGCCGTTTCGTCCTGGTATGGGACTCCTCAGTAGTGCGTATGCACAACCCCGCACCCCGCGAGACTCGGACCCAGGACCTACTGGTTTTGCGCGCGAGCACTTAACCATTAGACCACTGAGCCGGCATCCAACGGTGTTAATGTCTAACTTCAACCAATCCACGAAGTTGCGCCACCGTACACCATTGTCTTCAGTGAGCTGATATCTCACAACAGACCTGGTTGAACTCCACTGGTAACGGCTTCTCACTAGAACTCCAGAAGTATCTCCTGAAGTCAGTCACTAGTGAGCAGTTGATTATTATCAGAATGGGTTTTGTGGAGATTTTTAGAAACTTCACAAAAATGAACCTTGGAGTAAAGTATTTTCTCTCATAATTCGCGTCTCCTCCCTGGTGTTCAAGTCGCTGTGTAGTTCTAGCTTGCGGGTTACCAGAATAGCTTAGGAATCGTATATAGCGTTCAATCGACAAGACTTATCAATAGTCAATATCATACGGAATTCCTATGATGGATTAAACTGCAAAATCGTGCATGGAGGACAATTGACAGACTCGTCCGAGGTAAAGACCGGTGTTAATCAAGATTGTTTATTCTCATCCTTTCTCTTTCTCCTAGTGATCGACAGGGTCATGAAGACGTCAATATCTGGGGGGAACCATGGGGTACAGTGGACAACTAGAATGCAGCTAGACGACGTAGACTTCGCAGATGATCTGGCTCTACTATCGCACACGCAACAACAAATGCAGAAGACGACCAGTGTAGCAACAGCCTTAGCAGCAGCAAGTCTCAACACACACAAAGGGAAAAACAAGATTCTCCGATACAACACAGCATGCGCCAATCGAATCACACTTGACGGAGAAGCTTTGAATGATGTAAAAACCTTTACATATCTGGACAGCATCATTGATGAACACGATGGATCTGATGCAGATGTGAAGATGCGGATCGGCAAAGCAAGAGCAGCATATCTACAACTGGAGAACATCTGCAACTCAAAACAACTGTCTGTCAGCCAACACCAATGTCACAATTTTCAATACAAATGTCAAGACAGTTCTACTGTTTGGGGCGGAAACTTGAAGAACTACGAAAGTCATCATTCAGAAGATACAAGTGTTTATTAACAGTTGTCTAAGCAAAATACTTCGGATCCGTTGCCCAGAAACTATCAGCAACAACCTACTGTGGGAGAGAACAAACCAGATACCAGTGGAGGAAGGAATCAGGAAGAAGTGCTGGAAGTGGATAGGACACACATTGAGGAAAGCATGCGACTGCGCCGCAAGGCAAGCCCTCATTTGGAATCCTCATGGCCAAAGGAGAAGAGGAAGACCAAAGAACACATTACGTCGAGAAATGGAAACAGACATGAGAAGAATGAACAAAATTGAATAGAACTGGAGAGGAAGGTCCAGGACAGAGTGGGGTTGGAGAATGCTGGTCGGCGGCCTATGCTCCATTGGGAGTAACAGCGTAAGTAAATTGTAGTCAGTAGTTCAGCATGAGAAGTAAATTATGCTTGGGTTAATGGACACTAAAATAACAACGGTCGTGGGTGCGCACTGTTAAGTCCCATATTAAGACGAAACAGTCATTCCGTTAGGGAACGACGAAGCTATACAATAGATTACTCGAAATGATTCGCTTTTATCTACCACATGACCATTGTCAACTAAGTGTCATAAACTGCCTTAACTGGCTTAATATTTTTAATTATCCATGTCTATTGGAGTAAAGCCTGATGACGATCTAACTGAATGGTTCGCTTTTAAATCTTGTTCTAATATACATGGTGGGAATTTTCTATGTATCTTGATGATATTTTTATAAGAAGCTAAAATATTTTATTTTGGTGAGAGAGGGAAAAAATTGATAACAGATATTATCAATCCTGAAAATAAATACACTCACTGGCAGAACTACTGGAATGTTGAAAAAATGAATATGTAGCAGGTAGATCAAATGATGACGGACTACATTGGGAAATAATAACATTATCATTATGACCATCGACAATATCATTTGATTTCTGTTGCTCCATCGAAGCATCATAACTGATTATATCATTATGACTGTTATCATTAACAGTATTAACACTAGTTTCACCACCGACTGGTATTGTTGACGATACAGCTAGAAATGGTGTTTCTTCATTTTTAGCATCTTTAAGAGCTACCCACTTATCATTGTTAAAATGAGTATCTGTTGTATCTAATAAGAATATTCTACCAGTTGGAGCTGAATGAAAGCGTTCAAATCCAGTGTCATTAACCTATAAAGAAGAGAAATAGTTTAGAAAAAAAAAGAAAAATACATTATAAAATAGCCTATAACAAAATAAATATGTTTATCCCACTGGAGGACACACTCACAACTCACTTGTTCAACAGTATCCTCAGCTGACATTAGTCTATTCTGTCTATTTATCAAATCAATATTCACAAAATCTCCGATCAAGATGTAACGTTGTGCTTACTAGAGACTTGCTTCTAGGTGAACCTCTCAAGTTCTAGTAACAAGTCATTATTGGTGGAGTCTAGTCATGTCAGATGTGTGACAAGTACTGTCGACGGTATCAGATGGTCATCGTGCTATATTGTGAACTAGTTGCAGTTGAAAACATTGACCACTTCATTCCGAATCAGTGGGCTGAACGTTAGGTGGTTTTCATGGGATTTGATGGTTTTAAGTTAGGTTCCGGATGGAACTTCATGCTATGAGAACATGCATAAAGAGTGCATATAGGTAATATTTGATTGTAATCAAACTTGCAAAGAAACGATTGGTTACAAGTTCATAAAGAAGCACCTAGCTAACAGCCTATTGACAACGCAATTCTTGATCACTTCTAAGAGAAAACTTAATTAGTACACAAAGCGTTTTTCCAGCAATCCCAATTCGGTTATCCAAAAATGTAAAGTAGATGTTGTTTACAAATCGATCTATCCAGTTGGAACAATGTTATGGAAATAAATAGATATCAAACATTACTGGATTGAGTGACTACTGCCCTTAACAATCCAAATCCATTATGATATACATATAATGAGCAAAATAAATTCTTGTTTCATGGGCAAATTCACTGAAAATCTTTGTTTAGATGATATAATCATTGATCTGATCTCGAGATGGATTTAGTTTATGCAACAATCAGAAAAAGAGTCAAGTCGAAAATCAAACGAAAAGATCACTTGAACTCAATCAAAGCAGTAATTTATTGACTAATCATGTCACTTACTGAGGAGAGCCGATTAAGTTATACATTGGAAGACGGTTGAGCGATATTACGAATCTACTGAAATTAAACATGTAAACCACTGGATGTTTATATAAGAAAATTGTTCGTGAGTTGAAATATGAATTCATTTAATAGACAAAATCTTCAACTCACTTCAATGCCTTCCAACTTTTTACGAGTTCGTAACATTCGACGATTCCACATAGCTGATAGGATAACTTTCATTGCGTGCGGTTTATGAGCAGAAGTTGCAGCAGGTGCAACTGGGAGACTAAAATTCGTGATACTACTCAACTGAAAAGAAATACAAATAAAAAGATTAAGTCAACACTATACGATCAATTAAGTAAATAAGAGCCTAACAAAATGTGAATCAAACTATCGTTCTTAAAGGATATAGCAGTTATTAAAGCAAAAAAATTGTTTTATTGGTTAGTTATATGATGCAAAGCTACAGCTCAACTGTCGAATTACACGTATAGAGCAATGGTTTATTGATTGTAGAGCTTAGCTCCTAATCAGCAGGCCACAGGTTCGAACCAAGCCTCCATTACTTCGGTTTGGACAGCAAGGTATTATTATCATTGGCCTTTATACAAAGAGTTACACAGTATACTGTTTCTATCTATCCAATGAAAAAACAAAAACAAAACTAGTTTCTAAAAAGTTAATCACCTTTGCTTATTGTCCACAAAATCACATTTATTTTGAACATCTGCCATCATGAAAGTTATGAATTTAATGACAATGACTTACTTCACGTAGATAAACCGGTCTCTGAGATTCAATCGGTGGCACGACAGAAGAATTAGCAAAAGAGACCTAAAACATAAAAAATTGGTATAAGATGATATTCATAGATAAGAGACTTAAATGCAAAAAATAGAAGTAAACTTAAATTCTTAGATTTTCATTGTGGCATTTTACAAGATACAATAAATATAAAAGTTGAAATAGTTATTCTGATTTTATGAATTGTATAATCGATTCCGAAAGATTTCTTACTATTCTCTTTTAAAGATATTAGACAGTACTCAAGATTAGAGTATTCCAATGAAGTAGTTTCAACGATTTGCAAGTATAAATATCCAAAACTCCGATGTCTCTCCATATGTTTTAACAAACAAATTCGTTTGCATAGTTGGAAGACGTTATCTCAGATTTTGGTAGTTTAAAGTTGAATAGGCGTCGTAGAAAGTCGAGAATCATATCAAAACCCAGTGGTAAAATGGCTTCTGCAAACTTTAGCAACTTTGAATCGGATATAGGTTCACTTCCGACGAAATTTACTCTAGACAATCCACTTTTTTCAATTCTTATTGATTTGCAGTGAGACCCGACAATCAAACAAGGGTATAAGTGAGCATCTTATCCTTAGTCGTAGCGTGATTGCTTCCACGAGCTGTACGTTCCAGCACTTTTTTTAATTTTCTTTGTTATTAAGTAAATTAAAAGTGATACTTCAAATTTCTTAAATGGTAAGTGTTTATATTTTAGAGTAGAATTTTTTATTTTTAAATCAATCGTTAAATGGAAACTTACGTCAGTATATTCGATTTAATCAGAGAAATAAAGTCACTAATCCTTCAAAAATAGTAACACTTTAAAATAGTTTAACATTGTCAAAAATGCCAAAAAATAGTCATGATAGTCTTAAATATAATAATAATAATAATAATAATAATAATAATAATAATAATAATAATAATAATAATAACGTACTTTTCGTTTATTGATAATCTTCATTGGTACAGAATGTGAACTTGAAGCCAGCTGAAATTTTGAAAGGATATGAGACGTAACAAAAAATAAACATGTAATAAAGAATAACTTAGCGATAGTAACTTACACGATGTCTTAACGACGATCTCGATATATCGCATAGAGCTGGAGAGGCAGTCAGCTATAATAAATAATAAAAAAAAGCAAATAGGACATCAAACCAATACTTTCTTAAAAATTCGAAAACATGAGCACTATTGTGCCGCATTCGGTTATTAACTTTGACAGAATGACATGTTTGGATAATTTTTTAAAAAAATTAAACTATAAATTGACGGTGAAATTTGAGACATGGATTAGATTTTCTGTTCTTCAATTCAGTAGGTAAACGTAGATGCGTAACAATAATGGTTAATTAACGTCGACAGAATATTTAATCATTTCCCATTAATATCATGTATCAACGTTTTTAAGCGTAATGAATTTGTTGAAATCGTTACACTATAACATGATACTGATGTATAGAAGAGTAGGGTTTTTCTGCAAAACAATGACATACTTATATACAAAATATTACCACAAAAATTCACACAATAAGAAGTCATAAGCGATTGCAGAAAATCCGTTCGTAGGTCAATCGCTCTCCAATCAATTAAGACCTGAATGTAAGGTTTAATTCTTAGGCAGCGTATCAATGGTACACATGCCAAATGTATTGTAACGTAACACAGCAACAACTAATTAGCAACTAGTAGTTACATCCTTGAGAACAATAGTGATTTCAATAAACTATGATTAACTTACAACTGTTAAACGATCACCTTTTATGCTTCCATAACGTTTTATTAAATACCTCAACCGTCGTTCATTCCAATCCTCAATAGTAGTTTCACGAGAATCAAAGCCAAAAAATGATAAAGAACCATCAATTACTGAATTTATAGGTCTAAAAAATATTGATAGATATCTTAATGCAAAATAGTAATAAAAATTACCTTATCATATTACGACGCGAAACATCCTGGAATAAAAGAATTTGCGTAAAATAAACTATAAACATCAACTACCTTAAAATATTGCGTGTTCCTTCATTTCTACCCAGACTATCAGAATCTCTTCGTGACGTGATCAAAATTAATGTTAATGGTGTAAAACAGTAAACATTGAAATATATGCCAGCTGGTTTGTCTGTGAAGCCAACAAACAACCAATTATATTATACTGAAAGATAATAATAGTTTGAGATTTGAGCAGAAAACACAATATACAAAAACTAGTTGGTAAGATGCTGAAAGCTAAAACGTTTATATTCATAAAGGCGAACAGTGGGAGCAATAAATATAAATCAATTTATCCATACCAAAACATGTGATAAGTCACGTTCTTTATTGATTTTTAGTCATAATATTTCAAAGCTATAGCTATATATACAAACGGGCTTCCAAACATATGCACACAATCATGTGTATGTAAATTACTTGATGACAAAAATATTTGCTCTATAACAGAACCAAGTGAATGACAAGGTAATTTTTAAAAGATGACTGGTAAAGGTAAAGTAATCGGATTAATTATACGAACTCATAAAACCACCTTAATAATGTTTTGCCGCTTTTTGAGTATGAGATGAGAAAGTGAGTAGTTCCTAACAAAAAACAAATGAAACCAAAACATATGGATGTAGCACTGAGATTGAAAGTAGACTAAATACTTTCGTAATAGTTTATGAGCTGTCCAGCTAGACGGTACAGCAAGAACCTACGAAGATGGAGATATAAGCTGATGCTTCTGCATCATTTCATTGGAAGCTTCATGACCTTCGGAAAGTCATGGAGTCAGAAACGATCATTGAGGCAGATGACATTAGACCTGAAGTCGGTAGGCCGAGTCAAGCTGATGAATTAGTCGTGAACAACGTTGAACAAATAAGCGGGTATATTTTCATCCCAACCAACTAAACAGAAAACGGTGACCTACAGTTATGATCAAATATCACTTAATATTAAGGTGTCAACGTCAAGCTTGATATGAGACAAAGTTCAACCGGAAAATCTACAACATCAACACAAAGAGACTATATTCACATCAAATATCGTAAAAAAAGCTTGACAGAAAACTGTTGCATCTTTTACAGCACATGCTTGAATTACGATCATGCTCTAGCGCGAAGACCTGTTTCCCAGCATTTTCATGAGTGAAGAAAAGTCAGATAAGGAAGAATGAAAAACATCAATTAAGAAACAAATGTTAACGATCCATTAACGAAACGATAGAAAAATACTCAGGTGCTTCACAGAAAGTTATGTAAGTGACATCATGCTATTTGGTGAAAACACTGGCAAAATGAAGAGTATTCCGATGCATGCATGGGACTTGTTTCTCTTCCTCTTTATGTAGAATTTCGTTTCAGAACACCGATCATACGGACTGAGGAATTTCAACAACTATCTAATTTAAAAGTACCATTAGCCTTGAGAGGTTGTTATCTGGAGAAATCTCGTCACTTATTAAGAAACCTTGTTAGGATTTTGTCAACTTGGCCCATTTTTAATATGACAAAGATGTCCGTCTGCCAATCAAATGGCGTGCGTAATACCTATCAGTCCCATCTATATTAATCTGTGTTTGAAATTTTATCTTTGAAACCAGAGCATATGCGTAGGCTGTGAGGTTCTCATAATACTTGACTTCCAAGCATTTCTCAAATTTTGTGAAACAGGTAAGAAATATTGTGGATAGGCATACTATAAAAAGCAAAGATAGCAAATAGTTTGTCAAAAATGTAAATCGTCACAAACAGTAAGTTCACTGAACAACATTACCGAATATACAGCAAACAAACTAACTAAATGTGCAAAATTAGAATGCTCACGAAAATATTTACGAAAAAAACATGGCGAAACCCAAGAATTCATTGTCTACTGATCCGAGTTACTTTGGTAGGCGTAGACTACTTGGTCAGGGTCTGCTTGACAACCGCGATCAGTAGCCGAAGACGTTGGGTGGCACAACTCAGGATTGGTCACAGTGGAACAGATACATTCATTTTTTTTATCTCCATCCAAGTCTTGACTACCAGTATTTCTTCACATGTATCTTTTCATCACATTCTGTCGAACTATAATATTAATGTTTGGTCTTTCTTATTACAAATACTAATACATTAACTGCCCTTCTTTGATATTCAATAGTATTTACCTAAATTGATTTTACTGGTATAACTAGTTTAAATACAAAGTCAATTCAAAAGTAAACCACTTCTTAACTTGCAAGTATTTACAAGAAAAGATTGTGTTCAGTGAGTATTTAGTTATTCCGAGTGGGAAAGTGGTTCACTAGTCAAAGCAACCCTCTGTCAATTTGCGGTCTATAGGTTCAAATGCGAATTAGCGTGCTTTGGTTTGGGTATTCAGGTAGCCTCAGTGGTTCCTACAAAATGGAATTCGATCAAGTATATGAAATGCTATTTTTTTACCAAGTTTCACTGGTTAATCATCGATGACAACTACTACAAATCCGTAATAAAGCAACAGCTCTGACTCCAATGATAATTACTCAGACGTTTATCAGGTCACAACACCACTTAAAATAAAGTCAAACTGCTTTAGTTAGTACTTTGAAATGTAAGTGATGGTTAAGGAGGTCACAAGTTCAGTTCTTAGTTTCAAACTTTGTATTTTGCTTATCCTAAATTTGATTGTAATTACACCTCAATTTTACAAAAACTCTAACTCTATGGGTTAGTTAGTTAACTCCATGAGCTAGTTCCATCCACGAGTTCTGACTTGTTCAGCAAGTCATCTACCTTATATTAATTAACCAACGCTCAACATATCTTAGATTTTCTTACAGGCTACCATGAACATAGAGGACTTATTCATGAAACGAAGACCAATAAGTTTGGAATACGTTCAGTTCTTGTAGGATGATTTATAGATACTGATCACACGTAGGTCTGAAAACTCACCAAGTGTATTTTTAGTCCAAGGTTCTGGGTCGGGAGAATTTTGTGGCTATTTTTAAGTAAATTACTTCTGGAACAACTCCAGAACGAAGACTTTCGAGATGGAGCACAATTTAAAGATATAGTGACCCTTCACATCTCCTATATGGATGTATTCTAATTGTTGGACAAATATTGATAAATCAGACACCATGTGACTATTGAGTCCGTCTTACATTCCTAATAATTCTATATATCTTACAAGTAATCGTGACTTTCTATATACTTATTTTTGTTATCCATGCCCTTGTTGACTATATTTATGTTACTATATGCGCTTTGTTTGTGTGCTTGCCTATTCACCAACTACTCTGTTTGTTGTCCACTTACTAGCCTAAATTACACTGTTTTACCTAAATAAGGTAAGACACAGAATTAATTAACGAACTGGTATGTCACCAACCCCAAACCTTCGTTTATTTAGTCCACAATCACAGTTTATCTGTGGAAAAGCATGTATGAAATATATAGCTTCTACTGAAATCTCGTATTTTTACTCCTGGTATACCGTCGTATTAACATGTTAAGTTGTAGGAATATATATAAAAATTAACATGCGACATACAAGTGTGTACATTACCATGATTCACCATCAATTGGAGTAAAAAAGAGCCAAAACGACCATTTTGAAGAGATTATACGTGCACTTTCCATTAACTAAATCTATAAATGACTTAATGAACAACTCAACACATAAGATACTTCAGGTAGTTAGCTTCGATTGGGTTCCAAAGAGCTTTCAAGTTGTGTTAGTTCAGTGTGTAAAATAAACATGAGACACTAAGTAAGTTAGATTATGGCTTGAAGCGTCGAGACTTGTGTTAGGTCTGAAACAAGATATCTTGCCAATAAACCGAAGACTAAGGAACGACGAGACTAATTTATGGACGACGTATGAACGAATGTTTAGTGACCTTGAGAATATTATTCAATCAGTGAACAGTATGTACTGGAAATATATTAAACAAAACCAAGGAAATATAATGGATACACTTCTTATACGTGGTTCAAAAACTTGTCGAGTTTAAAAATAGGTTCAGAGGATCTTAAATGGTAATGCATGCAGTAGAGGAAATCATTCATACGCCAGAATCATGATAGAGTGTCAAAAACTCTTTCAGCCTTGACTACGTAGTCTCATTATTGTTTATGTGCACTTCGGTCGTTCAGTACACAAAATGCTACTTGTGGATAACGACACGATGCACATAACCAAGCCTATGTAGGAGTCTGTAGGCCTTTCAATCTTCCTTATATATTGTAGTATCTGCCTGCAGGCAGTATTACTGAGACTTTTATTATCCAGTTCGTGATGGTTGTCATAATTTGTCTCAGTTAGGAATAATATATGGTGTTTTCATCACGAACTGACATCAGCTGTAATGCCAGAAATATTTTCGGCCAAATGGATGAAAGGTTTTAGTGCTCAAGTCCGAGATCTGTTATCTTATACCTGACTGGTTCGTCCACAGATTATAGTCTCGCCGTTTTATATGTTATAGCCGCTTAATTATCACGTTTTGTACAAAATACCTTGGGAACCTATCGTACGTTAGCACTAGGCACAGAAGTTGGCGCCGTAACCTTGAGATCCCTCAGACGCCTCTGACTGTCTCGTCCATATAACAGAGTCTCGCGCACAAAATAGTAAACTACGGTTTTCAGTAATGACACAAAGTAATACGGTAATATAGTTATTCCCACAATTCAGAGTGATGTGATAAATTAATTTCGTCTTAGAAGTATAATTGAGCAGAAGTGATTCAATGTGTAATGTCCAATATCTTTGTAACGAGCCAGTTCCAGTCAAATTCATAGTTATTTGTTGATTCTTATATCACACGCTTTGATTATGTGCACCAGTGCAGTCGAGGGCTAGAAAAGCACTCACTAGACCATGATATTAGACATTATACATTGAATTGCAACGGCTTATTGATAATTCTGAGACGAAAATAATTTATCACATCACGTCGAATTGTGGGAATAACCATAACTCACATTACTTCGTGTCATTAATGCAAACCGTATTTTGTTTACTATTTTGTTTTATGCTAGCAATTCACCAGCTAGTGTGATGGCAAATTTTTGGTTGGGGATACAGTTTGCTGGAATTGGACATTTTAGTACTGGACAACTTTGTGGGCTTTCAATTCGTGATTCTTTACATTACTAAAAGGTGTTTTTTTATTTCGATAACGTCTGTATCTGTATCCTAACAGCCTGAACTCATTTGGAAAGCTCGAGTAATTTACCATAGTAACATCTCACTAGTATATGTAGATTATGAACTTATTTTAATATGTTCCCTATATCTTGATTGCGTTAACCATCATTTGTTTGCTTAGACTGTTGTTATCAGTAGGAAGGTTATCTATTGCGCTTGTTATTCACGATCAATTGCAACTATCGTTCACAAACACTGTTTGTATGCAATTTTACAGAAAATTAGGATGAAATAAAGTATCGTTAAAAAAGCCGAGTATATTTCAGTAGTTCCTTAGTCTTTTACTTTGTTTGTGCTGTCTGTGGTAAGTCTCAGAAATGTGGTTTATTGGCAAGATATCTTGTTTCAGACCTAACACAAGTCTCGACGCTTCAAGCCATAATCTAACTTACTTAGTGTCTCATGTTTATTTTACACACTGAACTAACACAACTTGAAAGCTCTTTGGAACCCAATCGAAGCTAACTACCTGAAGTATCTTATGTGTTGAGTTGTTCATTAAGTCATTTATAGATTTAGTTAATGGAAAGTGCACGTATAATCTCTTCAAAATGGTCGTTTTGGCTCTTTTTTACTCCAATTGATGGTGAATCATGGTGATGTACACACTTGTATGTCGCATGTTAATTTTTATATATATTCCTACAACTTAACATGTTAATACGACAGTATATCAGAAGTAAAAAACAGTTTCAGTTTGCGAAGGACAGGAGGCTTGATGGCCCATGTTAGTCCTGGCAATGGTGGTCTCTCAGTTGATCCAACTTTCTTTTGAAAGAGTCGACGGATGTAGCCTCAACCACGTGCTGAGGTAGTGAATTCCAGTCGTTGATGATTCGATGGGAAAGTCGATAGTCAACTGACAAGTAATTTGTTCTCGGCTTATGAACTTTTTTTGAGTGTCCTCGTAAATTCTCTGTTTTGGAAGACAAGAAAAATGAGGGAATATTAGGTACAAATTTATCACTAAGCAGTTTGTGGACTGTAATCAAGTCGCCTCTAGTTCTGCGATATGACAACTGGAAAAGGTTCAGCTTGGCCAGTCGAACTTCATACGGAAGCTTCGTTATTCCGGGAATCAGCTTAGTCGCCGTTCTCTGAACCTTTTCCAGAAGCTCACTGTCTTTTTTTAAGCAGGGGCTAGCCGCTTGTATGCAGTACTCAAGTTTAGGACGAACGAACACTGTATACAAAGTCAAAAACGTCTTAGCGTCGACATGACTAAAAGCTCTACGTATTGACTATAAGGTTCTAAAACCTTTGGCGGCTATTGCACGGCAGTGTGCAGTAGTCTTTAAGTCTTGACTAACAATAACTCCTAAGTCATTATATTTCTGGACGACAGGTAGCTCAGTGTTATTCATCGTGTATGTGTCTGTGCCTTGATGGCCGATATGCATCACAACACACTTGGAAGTATTTATCGGCAACTGCCATGTTTGAGACCATTCAGATAAGTTCTTCAGGTCACTTTGGAGTTCTAAGCTATCACCCTCACATCGTATCGTTCTCCATATCTTGACATTGTCAGCATATAGCAGGACCGATTATGATAGGAGACAAGGACGGTCATTTACATACAAGAGGAATAGCACTGGCCCCAAAACTGTACCCTGGGGCACTCCACTAAGCACAGTTTCCCAGCTAGATAACTTTGAGTTCACCCTTACTCTTTGTTGATGCCCAACTAACAAGTCTTTTATCCACATCAATAAATTGCCTCCAATCCCGACTTTTCTTAACTTATATAACCGTCGGTTGTGCGGAACTTTGTCAAAAGCTTTACTGAAATCAATGAAGGCGACGTCTACAGGTAGCTTTTGGTCCTTAAGAGCGCACCAGCTTTCACGAGCTACTAATAAGTTAATGAGACAAGAATGATTTATTCTGAAGCCGTGCTGCTTCTCCGAGAGGATCCAGTTTTTATCGAGATACTTAAACAGCTCCTTCCGAATAATCTTTTCTAAGATTTTAACAACCACACTAGTTAGGCTAACGGGGCGGTAGTTCTCAGGTTTGTGTTTCGTGCCTGTTTTGAAGACAGGACTTACTGTGGCGTTTTTCCAGTCTTTTGGTAAATGACCCTGCGTAACGGATAGGTTAAAGCATGTACTTAAAGGGCTTGCAACAAAGTTAGATAATTCCTTCAGTAGCCTAGGATGTAATTCATCGGGCCCGTGGATTTATCTATGTCAAGCTTATTTAGCAGGCCAAAGACATCGAGTTCTTTAATGGTCACGCTATTCAGTGTATGTATGGGGGGATCTGTATACGCTGACGGGAAGGGCGCTTCTATGGTATATACGTTGCTAAAGTAGTTCGAGAACACTTGAGCCTTACCAAAGTCGTCCTCCACTAATGATGAAGCAGTACTGTCTCCCCATAGAGCAGGAATATTTCCTTTTCTCCTTGTCTTTTGGTTTATATAGGAATACAAGCGTTTAGGACATTATGGATTCCTTAACAAGTTTTCTTTCGTACAATTTTCTAGACTTACGGAGGGTCGAGGCACAAGTATTCCGAGCCTTTCGATACTGAAATTTTGACTCATCAGTCCCCAGTAACCTAAATCTATCCCACATTTTTCTTTTCTTACGGAGAAGGATACGGACCTCCCTACTGAACCATGGTGGTGAGTTTTTCGGCCCCTTTGGTATAGTCCAAGGGATGTGAGGTGTGATAACTTTTAAATATGAATTTCGAAATGCTTCCCAGGCCGTTTCAATTGAGGTCTCTGGGTCTATTGTCCAATCTATAAACGATGCTGAGTGCATGATGTCTGGTATGTTTGCTTTCCAGACGTTGGGTCTGAACTGGACTGACGCGTGCTCGTGACTGGCAGTTATATGGAAGTCGAAAGTTAAAACTGCGTGATTACTTTTACCTAGGGGTGGCATATGATGGAGGTTCGCAACATCATCTTCATAGTGAGTCAGTATAAGATCTAATAAGGATGATTCAATGTCCGGATCGTACCTTGTCGCTTCATTCACATGTTGCACTAGAGCACATGTGATAACCCCATCAACTAGTTCCTGCACGAAAGAATTCTCCGACGATTTATTTCGCAGATTTTCCCAGTTTACCATAGGTGCATTGAAGTCCCCTAGGATTAGACATCGACCACTTTGGGACCAAGTATTGAGACTGCTTAACAAGATCTCATTTACCTCACAGCTTGGACTGCGATAGACCAAACCAATCAGCAGCACTTGTCCCTTGCATTTCAAGCTGCAACTAACTCATTCACACGTCCCACTCTCATGCGATACACTGTCGATAATGGCAAATGGAATAGCATTCCTAATGAATAGAGCTACTCCCCCTCCTTTGCGCTTTTGTGTTCTATCTGCCCTTACTAACGTAAAACCCTCGAAATCAAGTTCCAAACTATCTACAGCCTGTGTCAGCCAGGTTTCTGTTACTGCGATTATGTCTGGCTTTGTAGAGTCAATCTATACACCTAGTTCCGATCGCTTATTAAGTAAGCTTCGTGCATTGGTGTAACAGATCCGAAGCCTGTTTAAGTGACTTCGTGCTTCACCCAGAGTGGCTTCGGCATCATTCTCTTTCGAAGTCTTACAACCCGAAAATTTACAATTTCCAGGTCCTTTTCGCCAGCGTCAAACCTAAGTTTTAGTTCTTTGTCGGCTTCCCGTCTTTTAACACGGTCTGCCAACGGTGGGTCCTTTCGGATAAAGACTCCTGAAGTAGAAATACGGGATTTTAGTAGAAGCTATATATTTCATACATGCTTTTCCACAGATAAACTGTGATTGTGGACTAAATAAACGAAGGTTTGGGGTTGGTGACATACCAGTTCGTTAATTAATTCTGTGTCTTACCTTATTTAGGTAAAACAGTGTAATTTAGGCTAGTAAGTGGACAACAAACAGAGTAGTTGGTGAATAGGCAAGCACACAAACAAAGCGCATATAGTAACATAAATATAGTCAACAAGGGCATGGATAACAAAAATAAGTATATAGAAAGTCACGATTACTTGTAAGATATATAGAATTATTAGGAATGTAAGACGGACTCAATAGTCACATGGTGTCTGATTTATCAATATTTGTCCAACAATTAGAATACATCCATATAGGAGATGTGAAGGGTCACTATATCTTTAAATTGTGCTCCATCTCGAAAGTCTTCGTTCTGGAGTTGTTCCAGAAGTAATTTACTTAAAAATAGCCACAAAATTCTCCCGACCCAGAACCTTGGACTAAAAATACACTTGGTGAGTTTTCAGACCTACGTGTGATCAGTATCTATAAATCATCCTACAAGAACTGAACGTATTCCAAACTTATTGGTCTTCGTTTCATGAATAAGTCCTCTATGTTCATGGTAGCCTGTAAGAAAATCTAAGATATGTTGAGCGTTGGTTAATTAATATAAGGTAGATGACTTGCTGAACAAGTCAGAACTCGTGGATGGAACTAGCTCATGGAGTTAACTAACTAACCCATAGAGTTAGAGTTTTTGTAAAATTGAGGTGTAATTACAATCAAATTTAGGATAAGCAAAATACAAAGTTTGAAACTAAGAACTGAACTTGTGACCTCCTTAACCATCACTTACATTTCAAAGTACTAACTAAAGCAGTTTGACTTTATTTTAAGTGGTGTTGTGACCTGATAAACGTCTGAGTAATTATCATTGGAGTCAGAGCTGTTGCTTTATTACGGATTTGTAGTAGTTGTCATCGATGATTAACCAGTGAAACTTGGTAAAAAAATAGCATTTCATATACTTGATCGAATTCCATTTTGTAGGAACCACTGAGGCTACCTGAATACCCAAACCAAAGCACGCTAATTCGCATTTGAACCTATAGACCGCAAATTGACAGAGGGTTGCTTTGACTAGTGAACCACTTTCCCACTCGGAATAACTAAATACTCACTGAACACAATCTTTTCTTGTAAATACTTGCAAGTTAAGAAGTGGTTTACTTTTGAATTGACTTTGTATTTAAACTAGTTATACCAGTAAAATCAATTTAGGTAAATACTATTGAATATCAAAGAAGGGCAGTTAATGTATTAGTATTTGTAATAAGAAAGACCAAACATTAATATTATAGTTCGACAGAATGTGATGAAAAGATACATGTGAAGAAATACTGGTAGTCAAGACTTGGATGGAGATAAAAAAAATGAATGTATCTGTTCCACTGTGACCAATCCTGAGTTGTGCCACCCAACGTCTTCGGCTACTGATCGCGGTTGTCAAGCAGACCCTGACCAAGTAGTCTACGCCTACCAAAGTAACTCGGATCAGTAGACAATGAATTCTTGGGTTTCGCCATGTTTTTTTCGTAAATATTTTCGTGAGCATTCTAATTTTGCACATTTAGTTAGTTTGTTTGCTGTATATTCGGTAATGTTGTTCAGTGAACTTACTGTTTGTGACGATTTACATTTTTGACAAACTATTTGCTATCTTTGCTTTTTATAGTATGCCTATCCACAATATTTCTTACCTGTTTCACAAAATTTGAGAAATGCTTGGAAGTCAAGTATTATGAGAACCTCACAGCCTACGCATATGCTCTGGTTTCAAAGATAAAATTTCAAACACAGATTAATATAGATGGGACTGATAGGTATTACGCACGCCATTTGATTGGCAGACGGACATCTTTGTCATATTAAAAATGGGCCAAGTTGACAAAATCCTAACAAGGTTTCTTAATAAGTGACGAGATTTCTCCAGATAACAACCTCTCAAGGCTAATGGTACTTTTAAATTAGATAGTTGTTGAAATTCCTCAGTCCGTATGATCGGTGTTCTGAAACGAAATTCTACATAAAGAGGAAGAGAAACAAGTCCCATGCATGCATCGGAATACTCTTCATTTTGCCAGTGTTTTCACCAAATAGCATGATGTCACTTACATAACTTTCTGTGAAGCACCTGAGTATTTTTCTATCGTTTCGTTAATGGATCGTTAACATTTGTTTCTTAATTGATGTTTTTCATTCTTCCTTATCTGACTTTTCTTCACTCATGAAAATGCTGGGAAACAGGTCTTCGCGCTAGAGCATGATCGTAATTCAAGCATGTGCTGTAAAAGATGCAACAGTTTTCTGTCAAGCTTTTTTTACGATATTTGATGTGAATATAGTCTCTTTGTGTTGATGTTGTAGATTTTCCGGTTGAACTTTGTCTCATATCAAGCTTGACGTTGACACCTTAATATTAAGTGATATTTGATCATAACTGTAGGTCACCGTTTTCTGTTTAGTTGGTTGGGATGAAAATATACCCGCTTATTTGTTCAACGTTGTTCACGACTAATTCATCAGCTTGACTCGGCCTACCGACTTCAGGTCTAATGTCATCTGCCTCAATGATCGTTTCTGACTCCATGACTTTCCGAAGGTCATGAAGCTTCCAATGAAATGATGCAGAAGCATCAGCTTATATCTCCATCTTCGTAGGTTCTTGCTGTACCGTCTAGCTGGACAGCTCATAAACTATTACGAAAGTATTTAGTCTACTTTCAATCTCAGTGCTACATCCATATGTTTTGGTTTCATTTGTTTTTTGTTAGGAACTACTCACTTTCTCATCTCATACTCAAAAAGCGGCAAAACATTATTAAGGTTGACAAAATCCTAACAAGGTTTCTTAATAAGTGACGAGATTTCTCCAGATAACAACCTCTCAAGGCTAATGGTACTTTTAAATTAGATAGTTGTTGAAATTCCTCAGTCCGTATGATCGGTGTTCTGAAACGAAATTCTACATAAAGAGGAAGAGAAACAAGTCCCATGCATGCATCGGAATACTCTTCATTTTGCCAGTGTTTTCACCAAATAGCATGATGCCACTTACATGCTCTGTGTCTATTCTTAATTTTGAGGAAGTAAATAATTCCTTGCAATGCTATATGACGAAAACTTTATTTGCGCTAGTACGTCCATTGCATTATTAAGTAGAGATATAGTTATCAAGAAAAGCTAATGTACATCGCTTGAAGCTAACAGTGTAGATTAGAATTCACTTTGAGTTCATACTCGTCTAGTAGTAGTTAAGGCGAGCCTACACAAAATTTATTTACTCCTTTGGCACAAATTTCAACAGCCTATATTGTTGTAAAGTCTGTTTGGTCGACACAGTTGAGTGGCAGCTAAAGTTCGGTAGTTGAAAAATTGTTTAGTGCATACCGCTTATGTTTTTGTTGTTCTACCTTAGTTCTATGCATGGCCATTCTAGTTTTCAGGCCATTTGATTTTATTCCGTTTTAGAGTGTTATGAATATTATACTATGCATATTGGTGTTAATAAATCAGACTATTTACCATCATTGATAGTGCAGAAATCACCTGTTAACTTTTATATTGGACTTTGCCTCGCCTTATTGTCGACCTTATTCATTGGAACTAGTTTTATATTTAAAAAGCTTGCACTTCGTCGAAGTTCCAGGAATGGATTTAGCGCTGGTGAGTGAACCCATTCATTTTGACCTCATTTATGTATAAATTTAACGATATCTGTAAGGTGTATGTAGTTTCAAGTAACATATGTTTCATGTGAAATTTAAGTCGGTGTTGTAGGTGGAAACTCAGGTTGAATTATTCATTCTAGTGTTAAATTTTGAAGGATATTATTCATAGTTTGTTAATAGATTCATTAAACACTTCAGCACTATGATATTGAAGTAGCAAAGTTATGTTACATCCAGTTGCACAGAACTCGGACAAACGGTGTTATTCTTATAATGAGTCAGAATCGTATATCGGGGATCAGTTACTTATTGGTTTAAGCAGTCGGTTTTCAGTCATTAAGTCAGATGTTTGGGTCATTATATGTCATCTCTTATATGGTTAACCAGATAGTCTCTCTAGCTGTCAAATATCCCAGGTTGGCTCGAGTATGAATATACAAAAGCGTACTTTGTAAATGAGTTGGTTGTAGCTTACTAATTATGACTGTATATTTACTTCATTGGTTGGGATGTGCGTTGTCGATCATGGACTACTGCTTTTTTGACATGTTATAATGGTTAACGAAGGAAGGAAGAAAGTGTGCATATTCTTTATCCACTTGAACCTAGTATTGAAGCTGGCAACTGTTAATAGGTAATCCCATGTGATTAAAGCCTAAAGATAACAGTTTATTGTTTCACTATCTACTAAAAATGTACTTATATATATATATATCTTGTACGTTTGTTAAGTAAGCTATATTATTATAGTCAAAAATGAATAGTTGGTGAATAATCGGTAAATTTACCACATGATAGCCATAAGATATGATCAGCGAGCTTAGATGACATGATTTTAAACCCGTTTTGATCGGGAAGTTGCATCCAGTTTTCGTATTCTGCTCATGAATGAGTATTAGTATTACTTCATACTTCGTTGTTATCGATCTCGTGAGTTCATTTTGAACTAGACTGCTTCTGGTTTCTTCTCCACTGGAAGTTTTACTATTATTATCTGACTATATATTAGTCGTCATTTTGATAATTCCCTCTCATAATTTAATCATGTGGAATGTGAAATATCCACAAAACCCCTTTTGATTATAATCATCATATACCCACTAGTGATTGGCTTCAAGAGGTATTTCCTGGAGTTCTAATGAGAAGCAGTGACTAGTGGAGTTCAACCGGGTTTTGTTGTGAGATAGTAACTCACTGAAGACAATGGTGGATGTGTTGCTCAATTTGGTGAATTAGTTGAAGTTAGGAATTAACACCGTTGTATATCGGCAAGCTCAGTGGTCTAGTGGTTAAGCGCTCACGCGCGAGACTGATAGGTCTTGGATTAGAATCTCGCGATGCGGTATCGTGAATGCGCATCTCTGGGGAGTCACACAATAGGACGAAATGCCTGTCCGATGATTCCAGGTTTTCCATGGTAACCTAGTTTCAATTGACTCATGCTCTCAACTATTAAAATTCTAAAATAAAAACGTTTGAGAAAAAAAACTACTTTTCAACTTATTATTATTGAGTCAATTGATCACAATTGACTTAAATGATTTACTCGAATTCAAATGACCTTAATTAACATCAAGAATTAATCTCTTTATTTTCAATAAATTTGTCTATAATAAATTAGTTTTATCAATTTGTTTGATTAATTTAAAATTTCTGAATATTCATAAATCTATGCATTTGCTTATATTCACATTTAATGAATTGTAACTTAAATATCAAGTATGGATCTTATGTAGTCGGCTTTTAATTACAATGTAAACACCTGAGTGGAATGTGAGGTTTGGATCTGGAACTCGTACTAACTGAAAGTCGAATATTTTAGTCAATAAAATCCAAACCTTCAATTTGTACGGTACTGTATTTCATATGATAATCAATGGATTATATCCATACATAAAAGGAAATGTATGAACCGTGGTACATATGTGTATGTGTATGACAACAATAGAGAGGGTCTACTTAACCAGCTTTAAACCGAATTTTTGTACGCCTGTGATGGCTAGTAAACCTACCTGTCTGAATGGCAAAGAAATTAAACCAGTTGATGAGATTACAAAAGTGAACCTGCTAAGCTGATACATATTGTCATATTATAATTGGACTAAAATTAGCCTGTTTCAGTCCGTGATGGGTACTTCAACAATCTCTACAATCCTCTTTTCAATAGTTATTTATGTGGAACTAATGTATAAATGCTTTTTTAATTATTATTTATTTTACTAGGTGATGGATCCCTAAGTTATTTGTGTGAATGGATGTGGTGGATGGGTTTTATTCTAATGGGTATTGGTGAATTTGCCAATTTTGTAGCGTATACATTCGCTCCAGCTATACTAGTGACACCATTAGGTGCATTATCTGTACTTGTTAGTGCACTGTTAAGTATACGCTTTTTAAATGAACGTTTAAATTGTATTGGTGGATTTGGATGCGGTATATGTATATTAGGTTCAACTTTAATTGTATTACATGCACCAAAAGAACAAAATTTAACATCACTACATGAAATGTGGTTAAGAGCTACCGATCCATGTAAGTTTTATATTCTATATTGTACATTCACAACATTTTATCTCTAATATGACTATTCGTGTTCCTTTTTACATAATCAATGAAGCATAAGAATTCCCAATAAGAATAACAACAAGCTAAATTGATGTGGCCACAAAATATTTATTATTTGGATCTCTATAACTTTGGCATGATTGTACAAGTAAAATATCAAATCACAATCAATATTACAAATGATAAGTCTCAATGGGTGCATAATTAAGATTTTTTAAATATAAAACAGTCAACTATTGAGTGGTTTACTGGGGTATTACTTACAGATCGATGAAAGACAATCACATCAATTAGTGAGTTAGACAAAAAAGAAAGAACTTACAATTAAAATTATTCATTCAAAAAATGTACTATAAAACAATCATTTTGATTGATTACATCATGAGGAACAAACAAAATAATTCACTAACTATCCAAGTTTTATAGTTTGATTTGGTTTAGTGATTTATACAAGTTGATTAGATACTAACTATAAACAAGATTTTATCAGCAACTGTTAGTATTTGAATAGTTTTTCATAGTTCAATTATACATCACAGCTAACTGTCTCAGTCCTAGTTGTAAACTTTTTAGTTAAACTCCATTCATCCGTGTAAAGTTGTTAGCGAAACATTTTTGCAATGTCCCATGATTTTCTATAATTCTCTAGTTGATATGAGTCTTTTCATATTCGACTAATTTCCACAATAACTTGATGAAATTGGTTGCTCACTTAGATTAGCCTTTTTCTTTCATAGCATAGGAACTTTTTTCTGACAGCTTAGTAGTTAAGTAAACTAAACAAGCATCCATAATAGTAGAACATTGGTTTTAGGCTGATATTTAAACAAAATTAGGGAAGAAATGGGTGATCGATAAACGTATGTTGAAAAACTGGCCGATATTATATCTTTCTGTACTTGTTGCACACAAATCTATTTTGTCATTCTTTAAGGTAATGAGCAATTTTTAACTCAACTCAGAAAGACATATTACTTACCCATAACACCAGAAAATTGTTCCACGTATCCCAATACCTCAGTATGTAATATGATGTCTGTCCAGTGTCCCTGAAGTATTTACAAGAGAGTTTGATATTTCCCGATGAAGTTCTCCTCTACTCACTCAAAGATTACTAACTACTCAATCTTGACTCAGTTCGGATAGTATTTCTACATTCTAAATAGTACTGAAATCTATACTATACCTCAGACTCTGATTGACACCTAAATTACCTTGGAGTATCTACATCAATAAGCGCACAAATAAGTTGTTCTAAGAATGTATCATTAAGAATGCAAAGAATCTTGTTCATCTACAACGGCTTCACATGGCATATAAAATTGTTGAGGTTCAAAATCGGTTTTCCCTGTCAATCCTTTATTTTTTCTATACACGATTCTACTTACTCTCCATGTTTTATTGCGTACTCACCAGTAAGACGATGAAATGTTTCAATGGAACATCGACGGTATGTACCCTTGTGATTTGTAACTATGCGTGTCACCAACATCGTACTTCACTTTAGAGTTTACTTTGAACAAACAAAAAACAAACCTGATTTATTAATGTTCCCAATGCAATTTAGATCAAAAGGAGCATGTATCTGACATGCCTTTTTATTCATACGAACTCATTCCTACTTCATAATGTTGTAGCGTGGTGTCAGGTCGCGATAGACTATGAACACCACTACAAAGGAACGCATGCCAGGATATCCATAAAACCTCCCGGAAGCCAAATATCAGAAGGCAGTTAATGGACCAAGTCGAGATATATTTGCTGGCGATCTCGTGGTATCGAAAGAATACCGAGATCGTGCCAGGTACAAGCTTGGTTACAGAACGTAACCGAATTCGCGCGAGGTCACAATCAAAGTGTAAGAATAATGAATGCTTTTTAGCACAGTTAAACAAAAGCACATTAAAACTCACTGGTACAATTGGTTATAATAATTGTTTTCAATAAACCAGTCGTGTTCTCGTGATAAAAGTGAGTCACTACAATGTCACAACAGATTATGTCTTAGTAAATTCAAAGATTTTATTTAACTCTTATGTTGGCTCACCAGTTTAGCGACCCGAGATCTGACTCCGATTTGGACGAGCGTATGAATACTCTAAGAATATAGATCTTCCATTTAATTATGTTACACTTAAGTTAACCTGTGTGTGTGGAGATAATAAAAAACCAAATGCAGATTAAGCTGGATTGGTTTATTTCATACAATAGTTTATTCAGACTATTCAGAAATTAATAATGAGAAGCGGGAGAGCTAAGCGAGACGAAGAATACAACTGTACCAACTCCTTTTGATAATGTGTGAATCAATATTTACAGCCAGACAAAAACGAGCTAAAGACTTGTAATAAATGGAGTCAGCGATACACACACACACACACACATCTAAAAACCAGTCAAGGTCAATAAGCGAACAATTGACAAGGTCAAAATGTGGCTCAAGTAGAGTAAAATCAATCGATCTGTCTGAAATTTAGAGTAACCGATGTGGGTTGACACTGCACTCTACATGTTTTTTCTAAAAACCGGAATGTTAAAAGATTGGTGTTCGGCATTTCTTTTCAATTTTCACATTAAGATATTGATGTTATCTTTGTTCTGATAGACCTCATAGTACAGTATAGTCTAATCATAAATGTAAGTCCAAAGCCTATTGCATAGACGCATACACTTAGTTTCTGTGTTTGTAGGTTCTCATCAATCATTTCATTGAAGAATCACATGCACTTTGATCAAAACTTCAGATAAAAATTCAGAAAAAATCAGCTTGTTTCGAGCTTGGAACCGTGAAGCGATCACTTCAATATTCTTATATTTTACTCATTATACATTGCACTGATGCATTTATTTATCTAAGTATTTTGTTATTATATTTGATTGTTTTTCTTCTCAGCTTTCATTATCTACAGTTTATTCGTTATATTAATGTCCATCGTATTGATTTTTATTTTGGGTCCACGTTATGGTAAAACAAACCCAATTATCTTCACATTGGTCAGTGGAAGTATTGGCTCATTGTCAGTTGTTGCTTGTAAAGGTATTGGTGTAGGATTAAAAGTGAGTAGAAAATGAGCTTTGAGATGGTGGAGAAGATTTGTAGTTCAGGTGGATGATTTTGATAGAGTTTTGTTCTCTGAGCTGAATGGTTTGTTTGTGAAGCTTTCATCGTTCTTCTGGACGACATCATCAGCACAAACTTCAGGTAGAGGTGAAGTGTTCGAATTTCTCCTTAACATCGAGGTCTACAGGACAATCTGTGAGCCATATGCGAAGAAATTCGGACACCACTTCTACCTGAAGTTTGTGCTGATGATGTCGTTCAGAAGAACGATCAAAGCTCCACGACCAAAACATCCAGCTCAGAGAACAAAACTCTATCAAAAAAGCTTCATATTTTCCTAAAAGATTTTTTTGATTTATCCTCTATATTCCTTTTAATTACACATTTCAAAATCGTTGATTATACTTAAATTATTTGCAAACAGTGATTAAACTGTAATCCAGTAGCTCACTTTTGCTCTGCTTATCTTGGTGTTGAATTAAGGACGAGTTAGGTAGAAAACTTGAGTATTTTTACCCATAGGTGTATACTCATCAGATCAAAAGACGTTTACAATCTGTAAATAAATTAAAATGATTGAATGTAACTTATTTGCAAAGTACAGATTTGTCTATTCATTTCTAAGTCTCAAACTCCAATTATCAGGCCTAATTGTGCTACCCAGTTACAAAAATCTAACCATCACTCGATGGGTAATGTTATCTGGTGTAGGAGAAAGTTGGAAGGAATCTAGGAGTGGTCAAATGAAAACATGATATTAGCCCGCTAAGTCACCGACTGTTGAACTGATCTATGTTAGTAGATGCCGACTACTTGGTTGGGTTTCAGTTAATGACCACTATCAGCGATTGATTAGCTTCATGTCATCATGCTAATAGGGCATAGCATTTTGGGCCAACGCACATTTGTGGTATGCCCTACGTTGATTATGACTAACTGTAAATGAAGTATATGGGACAAAATTCGAATCCTCTACTTACTGATTGAAAGGTGAACAAATTGAAAATTAAGCCACCGTTCAATTGTAGAATTAGCATCCGCATAATATATAACATCCAAACTTAATGAGAAAGTGTTCTCGGCATTAATTCTATTTTAATAGTTGATATCATGAGCCTTTGGATGCCGGCTCAGTGGTCTAGTAGTTAAGCGCTCACGCGCCAGACTGATAGGTCTCGGGTTCGAATCTCGCGAGGCGAGATCGTGGATGCTCACCACTGAGAAGTCCCACAATACGACGAAATGGCCGTCCAGTGCTTTCAGGTTTTCCATGGTGATCTAGTTTCAATTGACTCATGATCTGAAATATTAAAATTTCTATAGTATCCACAAAACCCCTTCTGACATTAATTCTATTCAAATCGATTATTTTATGATCTAACGGAATTATCAAAAATGTTGTTGTATTTTTTAAATCACATTTATTTAATAATAACTATATGTCATTTACTTAGCTTCTTCGTATTTTTTCCCACAAAAATCACTTTTTACACAAAAAAATATTTTAGAATGCATTCACTGTTGGCTTTTCATCAATGTTCTCATCATGGTTTTTTTGGTTCCTGATGATCTGGCTTATTGGTGCAATCACAATACAAATGTATTATTTAAATCGAGCATTAGATTTATTCAGTACTGGCATAATTACACCGTTACTATATGTGTTCTTCACTGGCTTTGTAATCATTGCATCAACAGTGTTATTTCATGAATTAAATGCATTGAATTATATGGATTATGTTGGTTTAATATTCGGTTTGATATTCACAGTGTTAGGTATTGTTATGATTACTGTGCTAAAGGTGAGTGTCAGCATGTTAGTTTGTTTAAGTGGTGTACAACTTTGTACTAAGGATCAAACAATTTACTAATGAAGAAAAAAAATGAAAAAAAGATCTGATTTTTAAAACGAAAACCTGAAAAGTTTTTCACACCACTTCTCTCTCTCTCTCTCTCTGTTAGACGGAACTGAATTATGTGCTATCGATACTTGTGCAGTTTTGAGCACTAATTCTATGATATTAGAGACATTATAATTGTTTTATTTTTGGTTCAGTGTAACAAATTGATTTAGTTCGTTTAGTACATTGAGAGTGTTGTACATTTTTCCAAGGTTTTAGATGTAAATAGTCGGTTTAATAATCAGAAATCTTGTCTATGAGAAGTATCTATTTATAAATTATGAATATTGGATCAGTAGTCGTATGCAGGTTCACATACTGAAAAAGTTAAGTGTGTTAGCAATAATGATATTGCCACTTCTCTTAGTTGCCTAAACATAAGCTGGTCCTGTGCTGAAATTAATTATTTAAACTACTGATCCTAAATAGTTCAATGATACGGTCTTTGATTATGAAGATATGCCTTGCTAGAAAAGATCAACTATGAAGCGACATAAGTCTAAAATTCCTGAAAATGAACTCTGGAAATCGATGCTTGGGTATTGGTTTCCTTTTATTGAGAATGTGTTGACTTTTTGGTATGTGCTTTTAATTAGAGTTGACTGGGGTCAATACAAAATCCCCTGTAGCTCTTCTAGTGTTACTGCCGGTCCCAAGCCTGGGTAAAGAATGAGGGATAGGAGTGGGGTCAGCAACCCCATCCCGTAGAATACAACTTACTGAAAAAAATGTAAACAAATTAAACATGTGCTCCAGATCAATATTATGACTAAATTGATCATAGCGAAATTCAGTATTATGACCTTTTTCGCATTATTATTGTGATTTGTCCAATTTAAGCAATAATATATAGTTGAAACCTATTTGGATTTGTTATTCCATCTCATAAAATACCATATATATTTTGGTGTCTTCTTATCTTATTGGTTTTTACTGAGACATGAGAGTTGTCTTTAAAGTTTCATCTTGTTGCTTCTTGTTTACCAATTATTGTCAGTCAGTTTAGTCACTATATACCTGTTGTTTATTAGAAGTATCTGTCACCATCTATACCTTGAACTCCGAAATAACTACAAATCATACCAGCTTAACTCTCTAGTCCTACAACTTAATAAAGTATAATTTTTTTGCATAAAGAAACCATGATATAAGTAGTCAGTAAAATCTCATTAAATTGATGACGTATAGCATTATTTGATTATGAGTTTAATAAAACGCAACCCAGGTTTTCTTTTAATTTCATCTCCATATTTTTGATATAATCTACTTATTCCGGCAACTGCAGACGAACATCATGTAGTTTAGAACGGTATTAGTTATCATTCGTCAGCAAAATGTGTCTACAATTTCATGAGACTTTGAACTTGATTTCTATGTGATTTACACTTGTTTAATCGAAAGTTGTTCGGTAAGAATCACTCTTTTAATGGTTGATTAATGTAGTACCTTTTTGTCCATGGTTAAAGGTAAAAAGTTAGTTTTTCGTTATGTTTAATTTAATAGGAAGTCATACAGTAAAGAGTAAGATTTCTATTCGACGTTATTAGTTTAAACAATACAGTTGGTTTGTTAAAATATATACTTATGATAAGTGTTCGTGAGGATCGTTTAATGTGAATTTAGTTTTTGTTGTCTTTATATAATAATGATCATCTGTTCAGTATTGACCAACTTTGAAAGATAATCTTGATGTCCTCATTGAAAATCATGATCAATAGAGATCTAAACCAGGTTGGAAAGCAGACAGTAGCTTACCAAGGATACTGCATGATGGTCGTTTTATATTGTGTACTACTTAAGGTATAGAATGTAGGTCTTTGAATCCTGACTGGCTGATCTGAAAGGACCGTGTTTGTCGTGTTACCTGAATACCCGATTCTTGTGATGATCGTGAATATGCACTGTTGAGCTAAATACTACTAATGTTTAGTGTGTCTTGGTTTTCAGTGATTGAATGGTTGGCATAAATTTTTGAGAAGATTCAATGAAACCTAGACTCACCTCTGTAAATCTGTTAACCAAGTAGTACCATCTTATTTGAACTATAACTTAGCGGATGATCTGTAAATTAGTAGAATTATCAACTGATTCAATGAAATGAAGTATTCTAATCAGTTCGTTCTTATATTATCAGTTATACACATCAATTTAATCATGTTTAAATGCTGTTCGAACCTTTAAATCTACAAAATAATTCACCATATCTTCATTATGTCTGTTTGCTGCTGTTGTAATTGTGTGTTGTTTTGTTGTTTTTTCCTCACTATTTTGTTAGGATTCCAATTTCTCATGGAAGAGCTTACGAACATTTTTTCAGGCAAAGCATTCAACCTACTCGTCATCAAACAGTTCATTTGACATGCACAATAAACTTTATCGTCGTATTACTGCATTCAAACTAACATTGTATGACTGGAAAACTCGACATGGTAGACGTTTATCATTCGATCAATTGAGTACCGAAAAGTTAATCTCTGATCATCATTCTGATTCTGAACTCACTGATGTTGTACAGCTATTGCCACATATAACTAGTCGTAATATTAATCAAAATGGTCATCTAATGTCAGGTAAGGCAAAAATGAAAAGAATTCAAACATTTACTGATTCTCCACAATTGTATACTCTAACAAACGGAATAGTTTCTGTCTCTACTTAAAACTTTGAGACAAACTAAACAAGAATCATTTCATTTATAAGTATGACAATCATCGTAAATGTATAGTTGTCCTCATAGGTGGATGATGCATATATATACTCTCCAAATCACGTTATATATCACATTTCCATTCGTGCTTTAAGTTACTTTTATTTTCAACCGTTCCATTTAGATCATTTAAATTTCCATCTGTACTGTAAACCCTTGAAATAAGAATGACAATTACGAGTTATTGTCTTTCACAATTATTCTCATAATTTTTATCATGATTATTATTGTCGTTACTATATTTCTTTCTTCCTTTTTGTTTTGAATAATTCTAATTAGATTTTGTATAGGATAGTATTTTCTGATTGTTAATAAGTAGTATAAGTTGGTTTATTTTTTCGTTGTTGTTTTCCCCCCCCCCCATATTTATGGAACATCAACCACCTATACTTTTATTACTGATTATCTAATTAGAATTAGATAATCTTATATTTGACTAATATTATTAATTTTATAAATTGTATAAACATTATTTAAGCAAATTATTCAGACTACTTATTAATTTATTGAATAATTAACTTTATTATTTATTTATATATCCATTTACTTATTCATTCATTCATTCATTCATTCTTATTTACAAACATTGATATGTAAACAAAATGAGCATATTTGAATAAGATTTGAAATTGCAGTTTAGTGTTGTTGTTTGTTTGTTTTTCTATGCTGTTTTCTTGATATGAATTTTTTTGTTTCAATTTTAGAATCTAATAAATAAAAACAAAATTATAATCAGAGAAGGGTTTTTATGGATGTTATAATAATTTAATAGTTGAGTTCATGAGTAGACGGTGGAGCAAATTCGTAGATTAGTTAAAGTTAAGCATTAACACCGTTGGATATCGACCGGTTCGCGCTTGCATGCGAGACCGATAGGTATTGGGTTCGAATTTCACGAAGTAGGACCGTGGATACACACTACTGAGGAGTCTCATACTAGGACGAAACGACTATCCAGTGCTTTCACGTTTTCCGTATTGGTCTGACTTCAATTAACTCATCAATTCAACTATTAAAAAAATAAGATCCATATTGTCTTTTTTAATCTTATTGTTAATTTTGTTTACAAGAGAAAATCTTTTTTAAAGTTGAACGTAATTATCTTTACTTAATATTATATTACCTTATAATAATCATAATAATAATACAATCAGTTATAATATGTATGAACCCTTCATTGGAAAATCTTTAATTGATTTATTCGAATATTTTATTCTATCTAAAGTTGGTTTTATTTGGTACAACTATGAAAGAAAAAAAATCATCTATTCATTTGATAACTATGTTAATCTATTTAGATTTACTATACTTGAGGGGGGGAGACAGAGTATGATGTAATTACAAAATATCACTTAATAAGGTAGAGATTATTAGTTCAGCTTAAATAAAGATTATATTGATCTAACAGTACAATGGTTGAACATTCTAAAACATCGATACTTATACTACTACCTAATTTTATTCATTATTATCTTTCTAATGGTCGATTGGTTAAACGTACTTCAATGGTACTGAGTTAACTAATCATATGTCAATGTTATATAAAATGTGATTTTTTGTACCAAAACTGACATCAAGTTAGATTTTCAATGATTTTCTGAAATGATTTTATGCTCACTCAGTTATTAATTGTTAAATGTTGTGTTATTTATTTTTGTGTGTACATAGTTGTGTATTTTATTTCATTAAATGCAACATAATAATGAATCACTAGTCAACCTATTCGATCAAAGGGCGAGACTCTAATTTATGGATGAGCCAATCAGAAGCGTTTGATGAATTTCAAGGTCACAGAGTTAATTTCAATACCTGATACTCACATACGACCGGTTTACAGCGGATTTTAGAGAAGAGGTTATTATTGAGCGGCTACAAGAGATGAGACTACTAAGAAGTTCCTGTACCTGTGACTGCGGTACAGTGTGCAGACTATCATGATGAGATTGTATTTCGTTGTTCTTTATGTTGGAGAAGAAAGTCTGCTCGAACGGGGACTTTCTTCGCTCGGTCGCGACTGAGGCGAATCATGATAATAGTTGCAAATTGGATTATAAAGGCACCAGTAACACTGGCTGCGGCATTTGCAGATGTTACTGAAACTCCAGCCGTCCAGTGGTATGAGTATTGTCGTGATATATGTGCACTTAAAATGACACGTCTACACGAATCATTCGGAGGAGTCGGAAGTATTGTGGAAATAGATGAAACAGTAGTGCGAGAGCGAAAATACAACAGAGGACGTAGTATCAAGGAAGATTGGCTAAGTAGCACTTCCGTAAATATCCTTGACAGGTACTTGGAATTTATGATCGCTCAACGCAAAAGGGGCATTTCCAGAGGGTGACAAACCGTCAAGCAAGCACAATAATACCAGTTATAAAGGAATACGTGCAGCCTGGCACTACGTTATATACAGATGATTGGAGAGCGTATATATGCCTTCATAGACTTGAGTATGTCCATCATGTCGTAGTGCATAAACGCCATTTCGTCGACCCTACTACCGGCGTTCATACTAACAACATTGAAGCCATGTGGTCGAGATTGAAGGAATTTTTAAGACCGTACCATGACTCCAGAGGACGACTATTATGGAGCCATATGAACGAGTTCCTATATCGTATGCATTATGATTTCAGAACATCTGAACCTTTATCAAACGTTAACAAGTTTTTAAATCACGTAAAAGAAGAATATCCACTGTAATTCATTAGTTTCTTATAATATATATTTACTTTATACTAACTGTCTTCTGATTGGCTAATAATTGTCAAGGTCACTTGAGATTCGTTCAAGGTTCGTCCATAAATTAGTCTCTCCGATCAAAGTTCAAGTTAAAGACTATTAGTGAATGTAACTAGTCAATTGACCCAATGTCATGGATATATGTCCTTTCATGAGGCCATATTAAGTCTTTTCTCATTTATCAAAATCCTGACTAGTTAATGATTGTCAATCTTAATATCGTCAGTTATTACGACTGCTGCAGAGCAAAGCTAGGCATGTCATATGGTATGTGAGATGTAAGTTTGAATAGGTGTTATCTCATTGCAATGAGAAGCCGAGAATATTGTTCTCCGATTATTCACTAATAACCCCAGGTTAATATATAGAGTTTTAAATTTAAATTACTGAGCTGGCCAATAATATCTATAAAATTCACAGTGAATATTACAAAACAATATATGATTAACAGTTCGTAAGTACGTAACTCGTCGGTCGGTCGATGTAAGCCCTTGATGTTAGCATGATATTATAACCAATGTATCATTGATAAATACTACTATGTAGTACACCGTTATTGTTCCAAAAGTAGCTGCGACAATTAATAATTCAGTTTAAGGCTGCTTTTCCTTCTCCTCTCCATCATACTGTTTAATACCAAGCAGGAGATTTACCAACTACAACCTTTCATACTCTCAGTGACTGTTTTAAACTTTCTTCAATTACTAGCATAAATTTTCACTAACAAACTTGTAAAACATTTGACTGAGTTCCAAATAAGTAGTTTTACTCTAGACTCCAATTCTACGAAGAAATGTCTAACAGTTTATGCTTCAGTAAAATGGGCATCCTAGTTACATTTTCTTTCACAAACAAATCAGATAGAACGACAATCTAGATGGACACCTGATTCAATTTGTTTGCTTCTGGTCAAGATCATTTCAGACGATGATAATCATAATAATAATCACTTCATTCAGTAAGGAATCTCAGCACAAAATATAGAAGTTACAACAAACTTCTTATTTTATAAAAATTTAAGGTGTAAATATTTAAAATATGTAAATCAAGCTTTTAAATAAGCAAAGATGGGTGGTGGCTAGCATTGGAATCCAGGACGCGCGTTTCGTCCTATTTGGGGCTCGTCAGCTTGACGTACTTGCATTTCAGAGTTGATGTTCACTCTGGTGTTGTGACTTTATGTCCGGCTTCTTATCAAGTGGTTTGTCCACCAATCCAAATACGACTTATACAATATTAGCACTGTGCGAAACCAATGAAGTTCGACCGGTATGAGCAGCCTAGCGTCTTTACTGGTCCTATGTCCACCTAGCCCGTCCACTTGAGTCCAGAACACCAATACCAGCTTCCACTATGCGAATCGAATCATTTATTTCAGACATACTAGGTTTATATATCACACAAACAGACCGCAACGCACCATAAAATAGGAAATAACATTTGTACACAATAAAGCCAAAAAGTGGCTGTGAGCGTGGGAGGCAGTAGTTAATAAACTGAACATGGTTTAAGAACAGTAAATCGTACAATAATAAACAAGGGTCAAAACAAAGCTTATAACAAGGGGAATATAAATATAAATAATCTAGTTACTGAATATTTATACCACGAGAATATACAAATAATACTTGTTCATTAATAGGTCTCAGTCGTTACTCGTAATGTATTCTTCACTGGGATATAACACTACGACTCGAACCCAGTGTCATTCGCTTCAAACGCCATCGCGTTATCCACTCAGCTACTGAGTCCTGATAGCCGCTTGCTTGTGCAACGTGGTGAATTTGAATTCACTTGGTACTGTTTTGCTTGTATCTTCCCATTGCGGTTTAAGACTGCAATTGATCAGTCAGTTATTGGCATATGTGCATACTGTGCGTATGCCTCGATATTGCTGGATGTACCATCCAGCTGACGAGGCCCAAATAGGACGAAACGCGCGTCCTGGGTTCCACTGCTAGCCGCTATCCATCTTTGCTTATAAAAGCTTGTGAATTAAGGCAATATCGATGCGTACTCACAGTATACATATATGCCAATAACAGACTGGTCAATTGAAGTCTTAAACCTCAATGGGAAGATACAAGCAAAACAATACTAAGTGGAACTTTTAAGTAGTAATTAGGAATCATTCATATTCATCCAAAATTTTTATGATCAACCTTTTTCCCGTAACACATTTGTTCATCCATTGATATATTAGATAT